GCATTACGGTCGGGGGCACAACATCGTCTAGTGATTCCAGGCCCCAAGGAGGCCAGGCTCACCACAACCAGGGCCAGGACCTTTTCAGTGGTGGCTCCTACCTGGTGGAATGAGCTCCAGGAGGAGATCAAGGCTCTGCAGGACCTTGTACAGTTCTGCAGGGCCTGCAAGATGGAGCTCTTCCACCAGGCTTTTAACTAGGAGCTGCCCACCACTACCACCAACTATTACTGTCAGTAACATAGGGGCAGTAGATGGCCCTTTATGGAGATAGAGCCACAGCAATGCAGGAGACCAGATACCATTGAATCAGTATCTAGCATTACATCTACAGTGCGCCATCTTTATTTGACTGCAGGAATGATATGTTTTGAGCACTTTAATTGTAATATGAATTGTTTTATCTTGTTTTTATATGTTTTATATGCCTGGGCACATGTCGCCCCTGAATGTGAGCCACCCTGAGCCCGTTCACGGGGAAGGGCGGGATAGAAATGTAATAATAAAATAAAAAATAAATAAAAATAAGTGGATGTCCCTCGGGCCAGGGATCATCAGGAGGTGTTGATGATAACAGTGTAAAGCTCTCCAGAGCTCACATAGGGAGAGGCGGTCTTGTAGGTATGATTGTCCCAGGCCCCATAGGGCTTTAAAGGTAAAAGCCATAACCTTGAAATGGATCAGGTGTTCGATCAGCAGCCAATGTACTTGGCACAACATGGGCTGAAACAGAGGCATCGCTGTCAGGAGGCATGCTGCTGCACCAGGTGCAATTTCCAGATAAGGCCCAAGGGTAGCCCTGCCTAGAGCGAGTTACAGTAATCCAGCCTGGAAGTGACCATTGCATGGATCACTGCAGCTAAATCCCAAAGAGTGAGATAGGGAACCAACTGCCTGACTATCCAAATGCATTAGGGATTATATTTATTTGTGAGTGCCCTCTCTATACTTTACCAACTTTGAGCCAGATTATTAATGTCAATGCTTAACCTCCCACCCCAACTGCCTTAGAGGGAAATATGTATGTTGCTACATCCTGGATTCCAACCCCAAACCTTTTATCTTTAAGAAGTGTTTGCTTTTATCCCCAATTCTATATGAAGAGTATTCTAGAATGAGGGACTCAAGGAGGGAGGGGTCTTTTGTGCCTTTGTCTACCCCTAGTCTGCTACGTAACATGGCTTACAGAAAGAAAGCCTGAGGAATTTAGAATCATCCTTGTACAAGCCAGGGGGAGAGAAAATACAAGGTATTCCACTTCCATAAATTAATACCTTGGTAGTGGCATCTAGAATAATAATATCTGGAGTGTGATGGGATTGTAAAGGGGGATTAAACAGTGGCAGGCGTCTACCTGGCACCTAAACACACTATCTCCCAACAGAACTCCTTTCACACAGATGCAAGCATTTTAGGGGGTCACAAATAGCCACCCATCTAACCTCTGTAGATTAATACATAGAGAGCCTGGATACTTATATACACACAGAGTCCCCTCTTTCCTTCTTCCCAGAGACATCACCAGACAGCACAGGCCAGTTCCCTATGTCTACATCCCTCACCCAGACACAACTGTTGGGCTGGGAAACAGACACTCTCCCTTTCACACTTCCACCATCTATTTACTGATCTCTGTATTTACAGCTACTGAGACTTTACAGATGTTTGCATGTGTGTATGTGTTATTATTTCCCTGAGACAATATGCATCCAGTTGACAGGGTTAAACAAACAAAAGGAGTTAATTTTACTGAATGCTTAACACCCCCCTGACACAGGAGTTTGTGGGATGGCCTTGAAATGGCTTGCCTCATGTCTCCAAAGTTGGAGACAGAGGGTAGTGCTAAGAGAGGGAGTGTCTCTTTTTTACCCCCTGGTGTGTTCAGTCCCTCAGGCAGCAATCCTCTCTCCAATGTTGTTTAACATCTATATGTTCCCCTTTGCCCAGCTGGTGTAGAGTTTCAGGCCTGGTTGTCACCTGTATGCAGATGACACCCAGCTTTATCTGTTGATGGCCGGTGTTCGCGAAAGTGAGTACTCAGTACCTGTTTGCATTTTTCTTTGGAATTGTCATTTTGTAAGTGTCTGGATTGTTTCCAAGTCATGATGTGCCTTACCGAATGAGCCTCTGCAGGTAGTTGCCTTTCAGCATGATAGCTGCCAGCTGGGAGCTGTCAAACTAATTGGTTGACAGTAGACCATCTTTACAGCTGAAGATCTATATTCAGCTTAGATCAGTTAGATCAATTGACTGATCAGTTTGATTGGTCATTCAATTAGGGAACTGACAGCTGCACTAGTATAAAGGCAGGAGTGAGGAAGAACAGAGGAATAGAAGAGCTTAGGATATACACCAGAGATGGATGAAGAGGACTTTGCATAACCTTCTACATAACCTCAGGAAGAGCTTGTAAACCTGGAAGGAGAAGTCTTTACTCTCTTCGGCACTTATACTGCTGGGAAGACTAATGCTCAGGGTCAGTGTTTAGAAGCTAGTCAGTTAGGTTCCTTGTTTTGTCTTTGTTTCAGTGTAAACACCTTTTCCCCCTACTTGTATGTTTTTATATATGTTCTCCTTTTGTAAATGAATTTCTAAATTCTGTTTTTATAGAACTGGCCCAGAACTGAACTTTATTATTTATTGTAGTGCCTTAAAACTATGCTACCAAAAGGGGTTAATTCCCAATTGAACACAACTAAATTCCTTTTATTCTTTGCCAGCTCAGCCAATAAACATTGGGGGCTCACCCCAATGTTGTGAAAGTCAGTCAGCCAGCAACCACCCTGGCAAATTTGGTTCAGGGACTGGAGGCCATGATAAGAAGGTGAAAACAGAGCCAGCTGAGACTGAATCCATCTAAGATGGAGGTTCTGTTGCTGGGTGGTGGGAGTCTAGGGATAGGGCGCCAATGCCCGGCTCTTGATGGTGTGCCTCTAACATTTGAGCTGACTGTCAGGATACTGGGTGTACTTCTGGATGCTTCCTTATTGATGTAGGCCCAGATTACAAACGTTGCCAGACTAGCTTTTTTTTCAGCTGTGCCAGGTCAGGAAACTGCTCCCTTCCTGTCTTGCCACGACCTAGCCAAATCCGGAAGCTGCAGCTAGTGTAGAATACGGCAGCCAGGCTGTTTATGGGTCTCTCTAGGCGAGACCATATCCGCCCTGTGCTTAAGGCACTGCACTGGCTGCCAATAGCGTACCGGATCCACTTCAAAGTGTTGGCTCTTACCTTTAAAGCCCTCTATGGCCAGGGTCTGGCATATCTGAAGGACCGCCTTTCCCCATATGTTCCCCCAAGGGCACTACGGTCAGGGGCCCAACATCTTTTGGTTGCCCCAGGCCCCAGGGATGTCAAACTCGCAGTGACCATGGCCAGGGCCTTTTCTGTGGTGGCTCCTACCTGGTGGAATGAGCTCCCGGAGGAGCTCCAGGCCCTGAGGGACCTTGTGCAGTTCCGTAGGGCCTGCAAGATGGAGCTCTTCCACCAGGCTTCCAAGTAGGAGTCGCTGCCGCCATTGTACTACCACTGCACCGCTACTGCAAAGTGCAGGCTGCCATCAGGGTGCATGATGGCCTTGGGCTGAAGATTGGAGGGCAGTGTTGTCCTGGAACTTGCTTAGTTGTTCTGGGTCCATCTTCCAGAACCCATCTTGGAACTATGATCTTTCAGAGCACCAGCACTTTATTGTAATTTTGTATTGTTTTATTTTGCTTTTAACTTTTTTATTATGGCTTTATGCCCTTATTGTTAGTCGCCCTGAGCCCGTTGGGGAGGGCGGGATATAAATTTGAATAATAAATAAATGAATAACGTATTTATGGGATCCTGGTATACCCCTTGGCTTTGCACCTTGGCTTTGCCAAGAACAGCTTACTGCTGATCCCTGTCCTGAAACTATCCGGCTGTTGTCAACCAGAACCAGGGCCTTTTCAGCCTTGTATCCAACTTGGTTGAACTCTCTGGCAAATGAGATCTGTGCCCTGCAGGACCTAATGCAGTTTTGCAGGGCCTGTAAGGCAGAGGTGTTTCCCCAGGTCAACAGTTGAGGACAACAATGGTCTCCATCTAGCCTGGTTCCCTCCTTCCTCCTCTCTTGTTTCTCTCCTCCTTCCAATAGTATATGAATATAATTTTGTCTACACTAGTTCCGTCTGAATTTGTTTGTATTGTTATTTATAAAATTGTTTTTAATTCACCTCTTAATATTTTATTTCAGTTGTTCACTTCCCTGAGTCCTGTGGACAGGTGAGGGCAGTCTATAAGTTGAACTAATAAATAAATAAACACCACAAGAGAGTAACTCATAAATATTTATACATTTCCCAGCACTTATACGTTTGATCTCCAATTCAGTTCAGCTCTGTATGATTCTTGGTTACAAGACACCTTTTCTTCGGCCAATGACCGGCTACTCTCCTACCTCTCTCTAGCACAGACTTATCAGCTCTTAACCAGATGTTCTCTGTCTCTGACTATCTGTCGCTCAAGGGCTCTATCTCTCTCCCATCAGCATTCTGTTAGCTCCTCTTGGCTGCTCTTAGGGAGAGGCAGAGCTAGAGCACCCCACAGGGAAAGGCCTTCAACAGAGGTATGGCAATGCCTCTGAGAGGTGCTGATGTGACCAGGCTACACCCTCAGAACAGGTAGTTATGAATATTCTATGGACAACCTATGTCATTTTCATTTAAAAAACACATATAATGTTGATTTATGATGTGGACATCTGCAGTGAAAGTTGGGCATTGGCAAGAATTGGCTCCCCTCATCTGCTGGCACAAATGCCCTTCTGCTGGTAGAAAAGATCCACTGGATACAATCTATTGTTTGTACTTTTAAATCCTTTTTTTCCTTGGTGTTGATGTCGAACATTGCAACCATGGCAAAATGTGGCATGCCTTTATTAAAATAGCCTGCAGGTGTAAAATAGCACTTCCTTGTTGAAGATTTAAAGCGTCTTTTCCTCCTAATGTATTTTTCTTTCTCTGTGCAAAAAATAGCTTCACCAATTTCTTAGAAGAATGTCATTTAACAGCAGTAGTGGTGAAACCATTTCCTTTGATCAACATGGCGAATTGGTAGCTGGATTTGACATAATCAACTGGGTCACATTCCCAAACCAGTCCTTCCTTCGAGTCAAAGTTGGTCAGATAGACGAAAAGGCATGCCCAGAAGAACCATTTGTGATGCATGAAGATGCTATCACGTGGCCTCGCAGATTTAACCAGGTAGAATGTATGCACATAAAGGGGGAAGAGATGTTGCTCAGTGGTAGAACGCCTAATTGTCAAAAAGAACATCCAAGATTCAATCCCAAGCATCTCTAGTTTAAAGGATGAGGCCATTGACGGACCTCAGTCTGAGACCTTGGAGAGCCACTGACAGTCTTAGTAGACAGTACTAACCTTGATGGACCAATGGTTTGATTCTGTATAAGGAAGCTTCATGTGTTCACATTATGAGTCACATGAACACATTAGCCAGAGTGTGAAAGCATGTTAAGAGTCAGATTCATGTTGTTAGTTTTTTTAAAACAACTTGAGGTTGATTCTTTAGTATCTGAATTAAATCAAGAACAAAGTTTGTGTCCACTGGCAATCTTAAAACCAACAATGTTTAATTCCAGGTATAAGCTTTTGTGTGCATGCACACTTCTTCAGATACATTGAAACAGATATCCACAAGCCTTACATATAGGTGTGGAGGGGTTGTTGCCAGGAAGGGCTTGTTAAAGTCAAGATGCACAAGGAACTGGATGATAAATGTAGCTGAGATTGGATTAAAGTTTCCCACTTAATCTCAAGGGCAATCCCTTCAGTTGAGGTAATGATGAATAGAAGTGGAAAGACTGTTCATAGAAGTACTAATCAGGTTTTGTCACATTCACAGGCGAGTTGCTTAACAATGTTGATTGATGGTACATTTTTCACCCACCAGTCAGCAGAGTTAGTTCTCTTCCCATGTACAACAAATACTTTGTAGACAAAATGCCTTAATGGCATTCCAAGACTGAGCACTTTTATTAACTGCACATATCACTGATATACAATTGCACAGACTATACAATATGGAAAACATTTTTTTCTCTTCTACTAATGAATAGGCACAACCTCTTTCTCAGTGTAATGAAAATTGCCCTTTTGGTCATAGTAAAGCAAGGAAGGAAGGGGAACCATTTTGTTGCTATGACTGCCTTCCATGTCCAGAAGGGAAGATTTCAAACAAAAAGGGTAAGTAACACTTCCTGTGAAGTTTATTTTCAGCCTTGATAATGATGAGTTATTTTTAAAATGTCTTACACCTTTTGATATGAAATCAAGAAACTGCCATATTCTTTTACAGACATGGACGCCTGTTTCCAGTGTCCAGAAGACCATTATCCAAACAGTAACCAGGATTCATGCCTTCCAAAAAAGATCACTTTCTTGTCTCATGGGGAACCTTTGAGCATTATCCTGGCTATTTTTGCTTTTTCATTATCTTTCCTCACAGTTGTAGTGCTTGGGATCTTCATCAAGCACCAGGACACTCCCATAGTTAAAGCCAACAACCGGGACCTCACCTACACACTCCTCATCTCCCTCCTGCTCTCCTTCCTTTGTGCTTTGCTGTTCATTGGCCAACCTGGAAAGATGACCTGTCTCCTTCGACAAATGACTTTTGGCATCATCTTCTCAGTTGCAGTTTCTTGCCTATTGGCCAAAACAATCACTGTGGTTTTAGCTTTCATGGCGACCAAACCAGGATCCAAAATGAGAAAATGGGTGGGGAAAAGACTAGCCAGTTCCATGGTTATTTCCTGCTCCCTTTCTCAAGGCATGATTTGTTCTGTGTGGTTAGCAACCTCTCCACCCTTCCCAGATTCTGATATGCATTCAGTGATTGAAGAAATTGTACTGGAATGTAATGATGGGTCAGTGACCATGTTCTTCTGTGTCCTGGGCTTTATAGGCTTTCTGGCCATTTTCAGCTTCACGGTGGCTTTCCTAGCCCGGAAATTACCTGACAGATTCAATGAAGCCAAATTCATCACCTTCAGCATGTTGGTCTTCTGCAGTGTATGGCTGTCCTTTGTTCCAGCCTACTTGAGCACCAAGGGGAAATACATGGTAGCTGTGGAGATCTTCTCTATTTTAGCCTCCAGTGCTGGGTTACTGGGCTGCATCTTTTGCCCCAAGTGTTACATCATTGTGCTGAGACCTGATATGAATAAAAAGAAAAGGCCAGTGAAGGGAAATGAATGAAATTTTAAAAATCTGCATTCTTAAGCTAATGTTGTTTTCTTTCTTTCTCTTTTTCTTTCTCCCTTTCTCTCTTTCTTTTTTCTTTCTTTCTTTCTCTAACCTTTTATCTCTGATCTCTCTCTCTCTTTCTAAATTACATGCATAAACATGTCCCTGTGTATGTTTGTTTGCTGTTTAATTTCTCAGGGGGAGGAGGTAAGACATAAAGCTCTGCCTCTGTTTCTTTCCTTAGTCTGCAGCGCAGGCAGAATGCTGGGTAGAGGACCTGGTCACCTATGTTTAACACCCCCTGAAGACACACATTTGCTGTTCTATCCTTCTGCTGTCTCTCTTTCTTACTGTAGGCATGCTTCCTATCATGGGGGGGGGGAAGGATAGAGATGGGAACAGATGTTCTGGAACAAATTTTCTGCTTCCATTCTCCTTGTACACCCCAATATTTGAGCAAAAAATACTACCCAGGACGACACTCTCTCTCTGTCTTTCTATCTCTGTCTCATGGTAACACATGGTAACATACTTTATAGTAACATACTTTAATGGCCCATACTAAAAAATAACCTAGAGTCTGAGTGAGGCTGTACTACCAAAGGCACTGTAATGGCAAAGTGGAAACAAGTGAACTGGAGTCCAGAAGGAAGGTTTCCATGCAAGACATTGGCACTTGTGGGGTTGTTATTGGTGCTGATGCCTCAAGCATCAATTTGTATTGCATGTTCAGTAATTCTCTATTCTGCACAGGTACTGTCAGTTAGGAGACCTCAACATTGGTGGCATCATCTCTCAGTTCTATATCACCTCTGAGCTGATAACATTGACACAATATCCACATCTGGAAGAAGTTGAGGAACTTGTGTAAGGAGGCACAACTCACTAAACTAGGCTTGGCTTATGGATTAGTTAACCGATATACAACTGTGATATAATTAGTATAACACAAGTGGAGACCTGCAAGAAACTTGCAGGATGCTTATTTCATTCATCACACCTTTGCTTCCTCTCCTCACCCCTACCTCTCTCACACTATTTCTCCCCTCTGCCACCCTTTTCTTACTCTCTATTTCGCCTCCATGCATGTGACTTCCTCTCTCTTTCTGACCTGTCATCTTTCTCTTTGTTTTTCTGCCTCCCCACTTCATCACTCTTTCTCTCTCTTTCTGCCCCCACCCCATCATTCTTCCTTTCTGCCCCCATCACTCTCCCAGCCTCCTTCTGCTTCATCCCCCACTCCGTAGAGCAGTGGCAGTGGTCTGGGAATCACAATGGATCTCCCAGCTACAGAGATCAATTTACCTTAGGGCTGCCAGCTCCAGGTTGGGAAATTTCTGGAGATTTGGGGGTGGAGCCTTGGGACAGTGATGCTTGGGGTGGCAAGCAGCCTCAGCAGGGTATGATGCCATAGACTCAACTCTCCAAAACAGCCATTTTATCCAGGGGAACTGATTTCTATCACCTGGACAACAGTTGTAATTCTGGGTAATCTCCAGTCCTCACCTGGAGGCTGGCAATGGTGGTTCTCGTGGAGGAAATGGCTGGAGGGTGGAGTCTATGACATTACACCAGTCCAAAGTGCCTCCGTTCCTCAAATTCCACCCTCTCCAGGCTCCACCCCTCAAACAGCCAGGAATTTCCCAACCTGGAGCTGGCAGCCCTAATGTGAATTAATCTCTGTAGCTGGGAGATCCGCCCTATTTCCTTCCCACCCAACAGCCTATCTGCCTCTCTGTCTTCTGCTTTCCAAAGTTCCTCCCCTCCTCAAATCCCTCCCTCTCCGGGCTCCACTCCACAAATGTCCAAGAATTTCCCAACCTGGAGTTGGCAACCCTATTTCCTTCCCACCCAACAGCCAACCTACCTTTATCTGCCTCTCTGTCTTCTGCTTTCCATCTCCACCCCCCAGCCTCTACCTAGGAAAATTATAGTCTTTCTCCACAGTGGGGACCAAAGCAGCTTTCATTATTCCCTCCTCCTTTTTATCTGCACAACAACCCTGTGAGGTTGGTTAGGCTGAAATCTGTGACTGATCCAAAATCACACAGCCAGCTTCCACTGAAAGATGGGGATCTGAACCTGGGTCTTGCAGACCCTACTTTGAAGCTCTAACTGCTGCACCTCACTGGCTTTCATAGGGTGGCTGCTGATGAACAGTAGCAAGCACCTGAGGCTAGGTGAGTCATGCAAATCGAGGGGGGGGACCTGGCAACCCTAGACTACTGCCAGGCCTAGAGTTGCCAACCTCCAAATGGGACCTGGAGACCCCCCAGAATTACAACTAGATTCTAGACAGCAGAGGTCTATCTCCCTGCAGAAAATGGCTGCTTTGGAGGGTGGACTCTGTGGCATTATACCCAGCTGAGGCCTCTCCCTTCCCAAACCCAGCCCTCCTTAGAGTCCACCACAAAATCTCTAGAAATCCCCCAGCCTGGCAATCCCTGCAGAGGCCATTTCAAAAGGTTTTGGGGGGAATTCAGCTGTCCCTGAAGGGATTTTTTTAGTTTTTGGATTTTTCTACAAACCCTGGAAGTCTACTGACTATGTAGGAAAAGTTATTGGGGGAGAGTGAGCCCCCTGTTGGTGGAAATAAGTATACACACACACACACACACACAACAAAACCTCTTGAAAATAGAATAAGGATGGTATAGCCAATTATATTGTTTCCCAATCACGTTAATACAAACATTTCATGCAAAAAGTATAACAGATGAATTTTTAAATAATGTACTGGTGCAAAGTTCAGTTCTAATTATTTACTTATCAGTTTTTTCTCCTGTATGTTTAGCCCAAGTGTAGCAACTGTCATGAATTCCAAGAGGCTAACTAAAAATCCCCCTTTCTGTCCTTTCTCAAGGCAAACCTGGCAGTCAAACCAATCTTCTTAAATTTGTTTGTCGAATTCTATTACACAAACTTCAATCCATCCTGATATAAAGTTATTTGCTGTGTTCTAGATTTTCCCACACTCTTTTTTTTGCAGTACGATCTTCCAAAATTCTGGGAGTTCTTATGTCATATCATCAATATAACCTAGCATAAATGGGTTTTTCCATTTTACATTTTATTGCCCCTTTTATTTTCCTTTTGCTCAGTAGCTCTTAGGCAACTTGTGCTTAGTTTTCTGGTTCTTCTTTAATAAATGTCTGTTTGCAAAAAGTGAAATTACATTTTTCACTTTTTCTTAAAATGGTATATGTCAGTTTGTACCCACACAGAAGCCTAACTTGTTCCAGTCTTACAAAGGTGCACAAAGTAGAGTCTGGCAAGGCGGGTCTGAATTATTTCCAAAACTTCTTTGACATTTCTGGTGATTTGAAGTAAGAGAAACTTTTTGAACTGGAAAAAAGATCCTTTTAAAAATAATGATGTTTTAAACCACTTTATGTGCCGGTGCCGAGGGAAGGACCCGTGGTGTGCTGCTGGTTCATCTGATCACATAATCATGGATCAAACTGCACCAGAGCAATTTGCCATCCCCCCCCCGATATCCGGCCCGTGTGACCAGGGCCTAAGTTAAGCAAATAACAGAATGTCAGAGTGACTCCAGGACCCCCTCTCAGCTTCCTTCATTCCCAGGGCCCAATGCATTCATCCAACAGCATTAATTTTATTTAGCAGAATTTAAGGAAAACATGTATTCTTGATGTTTGCTGCCGCTCCCCTCCACATATAGGGTGGAAGTTGATGCCATGAATACGATTTATTGTGTTTTGGTTTGTTTCAGTTCAGGAGAAATAGTAATTATTGTGGCAACACAATCTAAGAAGGTTATTTGTGGACCATAGGTTGATTTTATATCTACTGGGCTAGTGATTGCACTAAAAAGATTGTATGCGCATATTCACTTTGTGCCTGGGTATGTTTTTACTGAACAATTTCCTTTATGGTCCTGATTGAAATTATATTTTGTATACATTTTTTATTGTGTTTTATGAGTGTAACTATTTACCATCTAGCCACACTTGTATGACCTCTGAGGAAGGCCGATCCGGCCGAAGCGCGTCAGGTCATTTTTTTAGCCCTGGTTATGATTATGGTTTATGTATATTGTCTGTAATTGGGCCCCTATATATGTTTTAACTTGATATTATTAATAAATACATGTACTTCTTTTTATCAATGGGTTTTAATATTGGCCCTCTTTTCCACTAAACCTTTGTTTGGTTTTGGATCATCTCGCAGACCTACATCACCCCTGAGCTGATAACATTTACAAGATATCCACATCTGGAAGAAGTTGAGGAACTTGTGTAAGGAGGCATGACACACTCAACAGGCTTGTCTTGTGTATTAGTTAAGAACAACCAATATTCAATTGTGATATAATTATTCAGTGTAACATTGTACAGTCAATTATATTGTTTTTTAAGCACATTCATACAAACATTTACATGCAAAAAGTATAACAGCTAAATATGTTGTCGAAGGCTTTCATGTCCAGAGTGCATTAGTTTCTGTGTTTATACCTCTGAGGATGCCAGTCACAGTTACTGGCAAAACGTGAGGTTCTACAATGTCAAGACCACGGCCACACAACCCTGAAAATCTACAGCAACTAATAACAGATAAATGTTTTAAATAATGTACGCATGCCAAAATTCAGTTCTAATTATTTCCTTATCCGTTTTTTTCCTGCTGTATGTTTAGTCCAAGTGTAGCAACTGTCAAGACTTCCAACAGGCCAGCTAAAGATCCCCTTTTCCATCCTTTCTCAAGGCAAATCTGGCAGTCAAACCAATCTTGCCAAATTTGTTGAATTCTATTACACAAACTTCAATCCATCTCGATATAAAGTTATTTGCTGTGTTCTAGATTTTTCACCACCCTTTTTTTGCAGTATGATCTTCCTCAGAATTTTTTTTCATGTTCTAAGTTGAGCGGTATATAGAACTTCAATGTTATAGCAGCACCATTGAGATGCCTTGACTCCATTGAGTCAATGGAGTCAAGGAATCTCAATAGTGCTGCTATAGCACTAGAGTGCTGTATTGATTTAGTGCTATAGTGTTCAACTTAGAACATTAAAAAAAGCCAGAGGAAGATTGTGTGGGGGTAAAATGGTACTGTTTAAAATGACCATAGTGCTTCAGAAACAGCTCATTAACAGAAGGAAATTTGCTATATGAAACCCCTGTCCCTTTATCGCTTTACTTGAAATCAGGCCAACAATAAATAACATTCAGTTTAGATCGGTAATGGAAAAACAGATAGATAGATGATAGATAGATGATAGATAGATAGATGATAGATAGATAGATAGACAGACAGACAGACAGAGATCCCATACACACACACACACACACACACACATATATGGGAGAGGTCAGAACAGTATCGGTGTGTTTTTGTTTGAAACATGTCACCCACATTTATACATGATACACATCTATCTTTTTTCCACCAAAAGATTGTCGTTTAAATAATTTTATTATTTTCCAACACGTAACACCAACACACAGAAACAAACAAAATAGAACATTGAGCTGGAGTACATTTCATTGTTTGTGCTTGAAGTTTCCCTTTTTATATAGTAGTATTTTTTGCACCTATTCTGTTACTTTATATAAACACATATACGAACTAAACATTTTATTTCTATTACTATTTTTATTTGTGCTTTCTAATGGTTATAACATGAGTCACTTAAGGTGCCAATCAATCCATTTGTAAAGTCTTGACCATGTTTTCTCGAAAATGTCTTCTCTTTTGCCTAGTAATAGCAAATTACTAGCAAACGATTGATGGTAGTTATGGCTATGCATTAGTTGTATTGGGAAAAACTGCTTCTGCTTCTTAAACTTTTGCTATGACTCTTGAAAAATATCAGCACTTCACTTTTACATATAGTTTTGATTATTCCTTAGCACTGATTTTTGCAGATCTCCTTTGATCTGTGATGTAGGCATGCATGTTTGCTGTTAAATAGGCAAACTCTCTCTTTGATACTGTTGAATTGAACATGGTATGTGATATTGTGCAAAGTAGTCTGCTTTAAGACCCTTTGAGGAGGGAGAAAGGAAGGAAGGAAGGAAGGAAGGAAGGAAGGAAGGAAGGAAGGAAGGAAGGAAGGAAGGAAGGAAGGAAGGAAGGAAGGAGACACTTAGTAGTACCACGATTTTCTCACTATTCAACAGTCAATCGTTAACGTTATATGACCAAAAAATCATGTAGGAACAGTGCTAGACCAGAGGAGTAATTGGTGCAAGCAGGCATGAAAAGGAATAGGAAACAATGGAAAGTCAAATCTGTTTGGTTTTTTAACAAATAAATCTAGAAATATCCATTTTCATAAAGGGGGAAATCAGCTCAGAAAAAGTTCAGCACAGCCACAAATCCCATAGGACCTGTCTGCTATGGATTTTAGTTTAGCTGTGACCAAATTCAGTTTCATTGCACCTGATGCGATAGAGAGAGAAATGCTCTGGGGAGGAGCTACCTTCCCTGTAATTACCTCTAACAACAGTGAGCCTACATCTTTTTGGCAAAAGACCATAAAATAACTCCTGTAATAGTGAGGGTCAGGGTATTAAGAAGCAGGGGGGGCACAGCCTTATTGGCTTTTCTTTCCCTTGAAATCTGGATCTCAGGTGTCAGATGAGTTTTGCATTGCCATCTCTGCTATTGAAGGCTGGGTGCTGTAAAGAGACCAATGCTGGATAATGATCATCAAGACAGATAGAGGGGAATTCTGTGTCAATGAAAGAAGGTTCTGCCTTCTTGATGACAGGGCTCAATGTGTCACTACAACTCCTGCTGTTGCTGCTCCTGCCTCAGACTGAATGCAAGCTGAATCCTGCCATTTGTGCTATGAATGATCCCCTCCAGACCCGATTTCATTATTATCAGCCAGGGGACCTCATTGTTGGCGGGATGACTTCTCAGTACTTCTCCATGTCTGAGCATGTATCTTTTGAGGAACACCCCAAAACAAAGATAGTTGATGAACCTATGTGAGAATCTCTCTCCCCCCCCCCAGAATATGTTACACTATTTTACAGCCTATTCAAGTAGTAAATACATACACTCGATCAGATATTCTGAAACTGGCATTTTTAAAATATAGATAAATCTGTTCAGGAGTCCTTTTAGGTTTGTGATAAACTGAAGTTCATAGCCACAGTTTACTCCTAAGCAGATTTACATGCTTTTAAGACTACTGAAGTCAGTGGACTGAGACAGGCCTAACTCTGCATAGGATAGAACTGTTACTTTATTTTCTTCCTGTTCATATTACAGTTCATCAGCTACTGTCAAACTGTGTCCCATTTCTTCTTAATGACTTACTGAGGATGCAGATACCCCATATGTCTACTAAATAGCATGCAAAACATATCGTATTATGAAATCAGCACTGTAACACAATAAAAGTATAATCATACAATGCAATGAAATAAAGTTATAAAATGATCACCAGTTCTTAGCCATGATAATTAGATAGATTGGCCATATAAAGAGACATTCAAAGTGTTGGAGAGAACATACATGAATGTTTCACCTCTATGCCCAGCTTGTGAACACCCGGGAACATCTAACTTTTCATTATTAAAATCCCAGGCTGGATGCATCATAGTCAAACATAGAAATACAAGTGCAATATCCATATACTGACTTTCTGTTAACTGTCAGCGCACTCCTAAGCAATGTTACACCCTTCTAAGACCATTGAAGTCCTTGGGCTTGGAAGGGTTTCACTTTGTTTAGGAATACACTGTCTATCACACACTAATGCAAGTGCAAAATAAAACATCTATTCTGAGCACTACAAGAATGCTACAGAAAATAAATTATTTGGAAAATGTAGCAGCCTGAATATGCATTATCAATGTGAGGGAAGTTGGAGTTGTTGCTGAAACCAACGAAGAAGAAGAGTAGGTTTTTATACTCCACTTTACTGTGCCTCGAGGAGTCTCAACACAGCTTACAATTGCTTCCCCTTCCTCTTCCCACAACAGGCACCTTGTGAGATAGGTGGAGCTAAGAGAGTTCTGAGAGAACTTGGGGCTTGCCCAAGGTCACCCAGCAGGCTTCATGGGGAGGAATAGGGGATTAAATCCAGTTCCCAAGGTTAGAGTCTACTGCCCTTAACTGCTATACATACTGGCTCTCAAAGGGGTGGGGGGATATCACAAACCTCTTCTTTGGTTCTCGATAAGCATGTGTTACCTTTCTTCATACTTTAAAAGAAAAGCAAACTGTTCCATTTGCTAAACAGTCGGGTAAGAAAACAATATATTAAAATGGCATGTTTAATTGGAGGCTGTGGTAGAACAATTGAGAAAATGCACAGTCCAAGAGAAATGACAGCTGATGATTCAGCAGTGAAGAGTAGAAAGGGCTTCATGAAGTATGGGGATTTCTTTTTATATATAACATGTCTCTTGTTTTAGTGCAATGACAAAGAACTACCAGCATGTCCTGTCCTTGGCATTTGCTGTGAAAGAGATCAATGAGAATCCCAAAATCGTGCCCAACCTCACCTTGGGGTTCCGTATCTATGACAGCCACTTTGATGCAAGGATAACTTATCAGAACACCTTGAACCTTCTCTTTCATCAGAATAGGACTATCCCCAACTATGAATGTGACACAAAGAGGAATCCAGTAGCTGTCATTGGGGGACTTGGTTCTGAAACCTCCGGCCACATGGCCTCTATTTTAGGCATGTACAAGATCCCACAGGTATGATGATGCGTGCTCCAATTATTCCTGTTTACTAAAATACTTACAGTTTTTTGGTAACAGTCCCTGACATTGTCCTTATTTTGTCTCGTGTACCTGGACAATAGTGACTGAGCAGAAAAGAATGAAGGAGACGGGAGGCTGTGATAGAGATTCTTATGTGGACAGATAATGCAGCTCCCATATTGCGATTTGTGATATTGGAGAGGGTGGGGTGAGTTTGCAGAGAAAGAAGGTTTCAGAGCTGCATTTCCTCGTACGTCGGGAGGGGGGAGAAAGAAATGAATAAAAGCATTGTTTGCTTATTTGGAATAAGAATCAGTAGCTCACCACAAGCAATGTACACTAAGAAAGCATCCAGTCTTGTACAAGAACCAATACAAAGAGACAGAGAAAGAGCAAAGAACATGTATGAAAAAACTGAGAAAAGGCCATCTGCCACAGAAGAAAGCTGAACAAGTAATGTTGTGCCCTTTTAAAACAATGGCTACAATTCAAATGCTGATGTAAATGAATAAATGATGGGGGAAATATGACGCTTAGAAGGCATATTCCCTGTGCACACATACATACACATACAATTGTGTATCAGTCAGGGTTATATAGCATAAGATATTAAATTTCTAGATTTGGACCATGGTAAAGGAAATACACAGGTCTATGTCCCAACATGGAAATGGACCTAACATAAGAACATAAGAGATGCCAATGTTGGATCAGGCCAAAGGCCCATCCAGTCCAACACTCTGTATCCCACAGTGGCCAGAAATACCAGTGCCATGAGAAGGTCCACCGGTGGGGCCAGGACATTAGAAGGCCTCCCACTGTTGACCCCCCCAAGCACCAAGAAGACAGAGCATCACTTGCCCCAGAGCCCCTATCTATACCTTGTGGCTAATAGCCACTGATGGACCTCTGCTCCATATGCTTATCTAATTCCCTTTTTAAGCCGTCCATGCTTATAGCAACCACCACTTCCTGTGGCAGTGAATTCCAAGTGTTAATCACTCTTTGGGTGAAGAAGTACTTCCTTTTATCCGTTCTAACCCGACCGCTCAGCAATTTCATGGAGTGCCCACGAGTTCTTGTATTGTGAGAAAGGGAGAAAAGTACCTCTTTCTCTACCTGCTCTTTCCCATGCATAATCTTATAAACCTCTATCATGTCACCCCCTCAGTCGTCGTTTCTCCAAGCTAAAGAGCCCTAAGCACCTTAACCTTTCCTCATAGGGAAAATGTTCCAACCCTTTTATCATCCGAGTTGCTGTTTTCTGCACTTTTTCCAAAGCTATAATATCCTTTTTAAGGTGTGGTGACCAGAACTGTACACAGTATTCCAAATGAGGTCTCACCATTGATTTATATAGGGGCATTATGATATTGGCGGATCTCCATGACCTTTATCGAATTGTCTCTCAGCTGATTCAATGCTGCACTGTTCTTTTGAGGCTAAGACCACATGGAAGAGCACAGAAACCAACCCATGTTCCGGAGACACAAATGTGATAGACAAAATCAGCATTACAATTAAGCAACAGTTTGTTTATCTCCAAATGTGGCACCTCCACCTCAGTAATCTGAAATATCTGCTTTTACTTAGGTAACATATTGCTTATACGATCCAGCAGCACATGATAAAACTCAACAATTATATCGAGTTGTGCTCAATGAATTATATCTGTACAGAAGCATCATCCAGCTTCTTCAGCATTTTCACTGGAATTGGGTTGGGATCATTGCCAAGAATGATGACAAAGGAGAAAAGTTTGTGCAGACTATGGAACACATGCTTTCCCAGAACGGAATCTGTGCTGCCTTCATAGACAGAATTCCAAGCCAGAGTAGCATCTGGGGCACTCTTGATTTGTTAGACATCTTCCAGAATATGACCTTTGCTCAAAACAAGACAGGTGTCAATGTGTTTATTGTAAGTGCGGACTCTCACAGCATGCTATGTTTGCAAGTGGGACTGAGTATGATTGAACCAGATGCGATGGCACCAATACAGAAAGTGTGGGTTATGACAGCTCATTGGGAATTCTCCTCAGAGACATTTCACAGACACATTGATATCCAGATCTTCTATGGTGCCTTATCCTTTGCAGTTCACTCCAATGAGGTTCACGGATTCCAACATTTCCTTCAGAGCCTGGATCCTCGCTCTAGAGAGGATGGTTTTATCAAGATCTTCTGGGAACAGTCATTCAACTGTTTATTTCCAGATACTGATGTGGGTAAAGAGAGCACTAATACTTGCACTGGGGAAGAGAAGCTTGAGAGTCTTCCTGGGCCCTTTTTTGAAATGCACATGACCAGCCAAAGCTACAGCATTTACAATGCTGCCTATGCTGTGGCATATGCTTTACATGCCATGCATTTGTCTAGAAGCAAACACAGAGCAATGGAAGGTAGAGACAATCTGGAGTCTTTTAAACCAGAACAATTTCAGGTAATACTTCAACAAGCAGAAACCCTTTTAACCATAAACAAACAAAAGTTTTGCCCCATGGTGTTCCGTCTGCTCTTCCTTGGGCTTGCCCTTTTCATGGACTCTTCCAACTCTTTCATCTTCCCAATAATTTAAGATGCCACAAATGATGTGTCCTATCCTAATAGAAGAATATTGTTCTTGGGAAATTTGATCTTCCAGCTGTTACCGGTTACATTGTCTAGTTGAGCACGGGGCAAATTCATCTGGGTGTGGTGTGGATCTCTTCAGTTTTCCCTGTGGTTGGAATCCTGTTGTTTAGAAGCTATAGCAACTTCCCTCTTTCAATAACTTTCAATAATGCCTATACATCTCTCCATATATTTGCTAACCAGACCCCCCCCCCCAAAGCATACCATCCAAGTACTAACCAGGGCTGACCCTGTTAGTTTAGCCTCAAAAAAATCACAAGATTGGGTTACTGTGGGCTATGCAAGTCAGGGTGCATCCTTATCTGGATTGGTAACATTTAAACTGCAGTGTGGAGAAAAAATAACTGATGTACTATCTAATACAGATCCCTGTTACCTATAAGTTACCGGTAACCATGAAAATCCAAGGAAAGCCATGGCTAACCTAACATATAATTTTAAAGACGGTTTTTAAAATAAAATGCTCTTAATTCCAGAACATCCAGGTTTTTTAATTGTCGTGGTTTACAGTTTTAAAGTTTGTTTTTTATTATCTTTTTTCCTTCTGTCTGATAGCTTGTAATTCCTTTTGCTAAAAAGCAATCAAGACTTCCTTTATTTTGGAAGTATAGAGAAGAAACAGTTGGCAGGGGATACATTAGGTTTCTACCTCCAACACACTCTCCCTCCCTCCCTTCCTTTTTGGTGTAGTGGTTAAGAGAGGTGGACTCTAATCTGGACAACCAGGGCCTCGGCCACACGGGCAGGAAAATGCGGGGGGGGGCGTGGCTGTTTGCCCCAGAACAAACTAACGTGCGACTGCGTGACTAGGCTTCGGGCTGAGGTCCCGTGGAGCTCCTGTGGTTAGGGGGGAGGTGCCGATCACACACGGGGCAAAGAAGCAGAGCGGCGCAGCAAACGGGGTTGTGTTTTGTTTTAAAAACTTAAATGTGTGCATGCTCCATTGGGTGCTTGTACGCATCCGTGGAGACTTGGGGGAAAAAACCTTTTTGCGCGGGGACATGGGCGGGCGCCAGAACTACCACCTGAAACCCGATCAGACACCCACCCTTGCCCCGTGGTTTCTGGAAACTAGTACCTCCGAGGTACTAGTTTTTTACCCCGCATCTTCGGCTGGAAGCCTCGGGTGTGCCACGGGAGCTCTATGCTTCCCAGATGTAGTGGTGAGATCACGCCCGGAAAATCCGCCTATCTTCCGTCTCTCTAGCGTGCCTAATGCTCCGTGTGACCAGAGCCCAGGTTTGATTTTCCACTCCTCCACATGCAGCCAGCTGGGTGACCCTGGGTCAGCCACAGTTCTTTCAGATCTATTCTCTCAAGAGCAGTTCACTCAGAACTCTCTCAGCCCCACCTTCCTCACAGGGTGTCTGTTATGGGGAGAGGAAAGGGAGGACATTGTATGCAGCTCTGAGTAAGCAGCTCTGAGATAACCACTACTACTACTACTACTACTACTACTTCTCCTCCCTGTCTTCCACTGAATTGTGCTGTCTTCTGCCTACTCAATACTGCCTATCTTTGAAATTGTCCCAGTGATGGCCTTACTTTGCCTTTAAGGAAAAGCAGACAAAGAACTACAAAGAATAGCTTGCTTGAGTATTAACCCACCAGGAAGGATCAAGATCCTCAATTCATTGTTTCCTATGTATCACTTCCATGCCATTTGCCTTAATTTCTTTCATTTTAGCTTCACCCTTTCCTGAGAAGAATCTCATTTAACAACAGTGCAGGGGACAAGGTGTCTTTTAATGAGAATGGTGAAGTAGAAGCTGGATTTGATATTGTCAACTGGATTACTTTCCCAAACCAATCCTTTTTAAGAGTGAAGGTAGGAAGAATGGACCCTAAAGCTCCAGAGGGCAGAGAATTCTCCATTAATGAGACCATCATCACTTGGCACAGCAGATTTAATCAGGTAGGGCCAGTGTGGGTTTTTTTAGGGAACAACAAAACTAACTTGGGCATATGGAACAAAATTTGAGTCCAGCAGCACCTTAAAGGACAATGATCTTTTCCAGCGACAAGCTTTCAGGAGTCAAAGTTCACTTCATCAGACACAAATGGAAAGAAGACCCATTGGCCCTTATATCCAGATCAGAAGGTGGGAGGGATGTTACACAGAAGGAGACAGTGGCAAACTACCTTTGAACATCTCTTGCCTTGAAAACACTAAGGGGTCACCATAAGTGATGTAACTTGATGGCACTTTCCAGCAAAGCTGAATTTAGTAATTTTGCCTTGGTTCTTTTAGTGTATAATACACAAACCCATGTTTTAGCACCTCTTTTTGAGGATCAGGAACCAGTAGGTAGAGCAGTAACAAGGCTTGTTTTGATATTCTTCCACCTCTGCCACTCTAGGTGAGCTAATGGATGGGCTGGCCCTTCCTCTGACAGTGAAATCATCATGACTTATTTATTCTTTGTATACAGCAGTGTTGCTCTGCAGTGGAACAGCTAATTCTGTATCTAGTAGCGCCTTAGAGACCAACAAGATTTTGGAGGTATGAGCTTTCAAGAGTCAAAGCCCTCTTTCTCAGATACCTTCTGGGAGATTTGACTCTCAAAATCTCATACCTCCAAAAGCTCATAAACAATTCCAGAACCCCATCTTGAAATTCATGGTTAAGCAACTTTTGGAGCACCGTTATTTTTTAGTGAATTGTATATATTGTATTTTATATTGTTTTTATATTGTCTTATTGTTTTAACCTTGGCATTTATGCCTCTTGTGAGCCGCCCTGAGCCTTCGGGGAGGGCGGGATATAAATTCAAAGATAAATAAATAAATAAAATAAAAATACCCCCCAAATCTTGTTGGTCTCTGAGGTGCTACTGGACTTGAAACTAGGTGTTATGCCTTGTGTGAAGCAGTGCTTCATGTCTGTCTTCAGCCTATCTATAGTCCATGAACTGACTCTAAGTTCTAGTATTATGTAAAGGGAGAGAAGGTTCACTTTGTCCATACTAGAAGGGGTCTTAGACGCTCTTTATTTGTTTTTCAGAAGAATATTACAACAACAGTTTAAACTTTTGGGTGATATTTTCCTGCCATTTTTCCTCTTCAAAAATGTGGAGCGGCTAGAACTGTACTTAGACTTGTAAATGTGACTATGATGTAGATTTCTATAGAAGCTTTACAATTCTAGTCATGTTATTGTCAGGTAGCCCTGTCATAGACCTGGAATGTGGAGGGGTGCCTTCCTCCGTGTTCTCAGCTCTTCCTTTTCCAGCTTCTGTGCGCTATCTATGCTTAGACCTTGTTGTCTCCAGCTGCTTCCCTGCCTGGGAATGAAACGGCTTTTTCACTGTTCCCGCTTGCTAGCTTGCTATCCGCATGCGCGAACAATAATAATTGGCTTCAGCTCATTGAAGGGGATGTTTAATTTTACTATAAGTCAGAGGCCATTATATTGCCGGCTATTCTTGACACAAGCTGTATACGAGATCATTAGGACTGGATCCATCAATAAACACTTAACTTCTTATGAAGCCTGGTGTGGTGTGACCTGACTAAAGACTTTGACAGTTATTAGCAGTTTGTGCCTTTCTCATTCCTAGCATCTGATTTAACAATAATAATTGGCTCCAGCTCATTGAAGGGGATGTTTAATTTTACTATAAGTCAGAGGCCATTATATTGCCGGCTATTCTTGACACAAGCTGTATACGAGATCATTAGGACTGGAGCCAACAATAAACACTTAACTTCTTATGAAGTCTGGTGTGGTGTGACCTGACTAAAGACTTTGACAGTTATTAGCATTTTGTGCCTTTCTCATTCCTAGCACCTGATTTGAACCCAGAGTCTGTTTTCCTTAGAGCAGTCATGCAGCCAGGAGGGCCTCTCCCTGTCAACTCAATTCCCAGTCAGGAACATCTGTAAGGAGATGTTCCTTTATCTAGTCGGATCCCATGCCATGTATGGTTCTAAAGGACAAAAACAAGCACCTTAAAATGGGCTCAGAAGGGGATCAGTAGCCAGTGTAATTGCTGAAGTCTCAGGGTGACAGGCTCCCGGTAACTGCCCCCGACCAGCAGTCAGTCTTCAGCTGCAGCTTCTGAATGCTCTTCAAGGGTAGCCCCAAGTACAGTGCAATGCAATAGTCCAGTCTTGATCTGATGGGCACAGCTGACTCATCAGCTGAAACTGGATAAAAGCACACCAAACCACCACAGCCATCTGGTTTTCTAATGTGACTGTTGAGCAGCACTCTCAAGCTGCAACACAGGCTTCTCAAGGGCAGTATAATCCTGTCCAAGATAGGAGAGATCTGAAATCACTGGTCTGCTTTTCTACTAATCCAGAGTACCTCTGTGGTCAGCTTGTTCACACTTACCCAGCACATTATTAACCCCAAGCACTGGTAAAGAACATCAATACCATTCTTGGAATTAGGTGGAAAAGAAATATAGAGGTGAGTATCATACACATATTGATGACACTGCAGTCCAGACGTCCTGATGACCCCTCCCTGTAGCTTCATATAGACATTAAATTGCAAGGGAGCCAAGATCAAGCCTTACAGAATCCCCCAAGTCAATGGCTTGGATGCAAATGCAGCCAGGAATCCCACAGAATCACTTTCTGACCACCACCACCCCGAGACACTCAAACCAATGTAATATGGTGCTCCTTAGTACTAGCACAGAGAGGCGATTCAGTAGGATATCATGTACAATGGTAACAAAGACCACTGAGAAATTCATCAGGACTAGCAAGGTCACATGCCCCTTCTCTGGTTCTCAGTAGAGGTCATCAATCAAGGCAACCCAAGCAGTGTCTGTTCCAAATCCTGGTTTCAAGCCAGATTGAAATGGTCCAGAATATCAGGCTTTTACAAGAGACCCTCCAGCTGAGAATCAACCACCCACTCTAACCCCTTGTCCAAGACCTGAAGATTGGAAACTGGCTAGAAGTTCTCCAACATGGTAGGGCATGTGGAAGGTTTTTTATCAGAACAGGGCTAATCACTGCTTCTTTGAGCGCAACTCCTGCTCTCAAGGAAGTATTTGCCACTATCCTGACCCGCACAGCCAGTCCCCCTCTGGCAGCTTTTACCAGCAAGGTAGGGCACAGGTTGAGAGCACAACTGGCGATTCTCACTTCCCAAAGATTTGGTCCACATCCTTGGGCAATAACATTCAGACTGTGCTTTCTTTTCCATGGACAGGTTGTGCCTCGTGCTGTGTGCAATGACAACTGCCATCCAGGCTACAGCAAAGAAAGGAAAGAGGGCAAGCCATTTTGCTGCTACGGTTGTACTAAATGCTCAAAAGGAAAATTTTCAAACTATAAAGGTTAGAAATATTGTATTATTAAGCATATAAGGAGAGTGTGGCAGAACAACCCCATGGACCTATGGGCACAATGCCATCCTGCCTTCAGACATGTCTAGGAACAAGCAGCCATCAAGGTCTCTACCTGGCAATGTGCCACTCTCCCAGCTTTCCTGACACACAGAGGGATTTTTTCCTCTTCCTCTTTTGGTACACCACTGCCACCACCTGGCCTTTGTAGGAATTATGCGCTGAGAGGATTGGGGCTCCCAACATTCCTTATCTGTGTTGCCATTCTAAGGCCCAATCTTGTGACAGTGTTTCCTACTACCCTGCATCTGCTTACTGCAGGGACAGCCTATTTGCCAGTTTGGTGTAGTGGTTAAGTGCATGGACTCTAATCTGGGAGAACCGGGTTTGATTCCCCCCCCCTCCACTTGCACCTGGCTGGATGACCTTGGGCAAGCCGTAGTTCTGATAAGAGCTGTTCTTGGAAAAGAGCAGTTTCTGTCAGATCTCTCTCAGCCCCACCTACCTCACAGGATGTCTGTTGTGGGGAGGGGAAGGAAAATGAGTTTGTAAGCCACTCTAATACTCCTTTGGGTAGTGAAGGGTGTGGTATAAAACCAATCTCTTCTTCTTCTCTTCTTCTTCTATTTCATTTGTGCACCACTAGGGGTTAGGCACTTAATGATTGACTTCCCCCCTTTCTGGTTTGCTCCAATTTTAAATGGCATTTTGAATTAGGACTATGTGGTACAAACATTTTAAAAAATAAACTTTTAGGGGGGAATGTCCACATGTGCACCCTTAGTGCACCAACAGATGGAGTAAGGGATCCGCAAAGAAAGGTGTAAACATGCAGTTCCTCTGTCCCTCACTCTGTACATGCCCCAGCTGTACTTATTCTAAAGCAGACTCCTTAATTTAAAAATTACAGTATTCTAATAGCTTCCCATGACTTTAGTGTGTCTGTTCAGACAAGCAGCTCTCCTCATGGCAATGACAGCCTTCAACAGGAGCCCAGATGTAAGAGTCCTTCTTCCTAGACAGAATCAATGAAAGAGGATTTTCTTTCCATTCCTAGGGGTTTTATTATCTCTGTTTGTCCACCTCCTTGTGGGCCAAAGCCTTTTCTGAAGTCTCCAGAAAGACACATTCTAGCATCTTAAACATCACACATCTCTCTTTCCGGTTAAGTGTCCTTGTCTCCAGATGGAGGAATGAGCTGACCATCTCATTGTCTTTGGCCTGTGAGTCTATTAGTATTTCTAAAGCCTGGCTTAGTCATTGATGGAGAGCAACTGATCTGCCTTCCCTCTTGTCCTGCCTGTTCTCTGTCAAGAGAGAAAGAATAATAATAATAAAAAGAATTAAAATAAAGTTGAAGGTTTTGGCACAGTAATATCCATTTTGGTACAGTAAGATGCATTTCTCCAAAGGGAGACTGAGATTAAATGGGAGGCGAGGAACCCTGATAAATAGCCAACAAACCTCTTACTTGCTTCTCAGTGATAGCTTCCCCCAAAACACACCTCCGAGTGCTACTGCATGCACCTCTTAAACAGTGGAGTGACCCTTTTTTCATTTTTTTGTCTAGATCAGTTCACATCACTACAAAATTGAACCAATGTGAAGTAGAGGTTAAAGTATTAGATTAGGATCTCAGCAATCTAGATAAGGATCGGAAAGACCCCACCAAGGAATCTTACTGAGTGACCTTGGAATAGCCACTCTCTGTCACCTTTCCAGCCTCACAGGTTGTTTTCAGAGGGTAGCTATGGTGGTCTGCAGAAGAAGAGTCCAGTAACACCTTAGAGCTAGATAAAAGTCCAGTAACACCTTAGAGACCAAGAACATTATTGGTATATGAGCCTTTGAGAGTCAAAGCTTGGATGAAAAGAGCTTGGACACTCAAAAGATTGTACCCCCAAAACCTTATTTGTCCTTAAAGTGCTACTGGACTCTAATCTAGCTGTTCTACCTCACAGGGGTTGTGAAGAAAAAAATGAGGGAGGGGAGAATGACAGAAGGAGCTATGGGTCCCTACAGGGAAGGAAACTGACAACTATTTAAATAAATAAAATTCTGACATTTACATATGGCATACAAATATAAACCCCCAGGTTTCTATAGTTTTCATGACATATCAACTATTCATACCATATAGTACCATTGCCAAGATCTTCCAAGCATATATATTATGCATAGTAAAGAGATCTCTTAATAGACTTCAAAATCAGTTGTGTTTAAAGAACTGAAATAGCTTGTTTTGTTTTGTTTAAGATATGAATGCATGTTTCCAGTGCCCAGATGCTCAGTTTTCAAACAAGGAACAAAATGGATGTCTCCCAAAGCGTCTCAATTTCCTCTCTTTTGATGGACCTCTGGGTGTCAGTTTAGCCCTTTTGGCTCTCTTTCTTTCTCTGACCACAGCCGTGATACTTGGAATTTTCATCAAGCACCGGAATACTCCCATTGTCAAGGCCAACAATCGGAACCTCTCCTATTTTCTTCTTCTTGCTCTCTTGCTCTGCTTCCTTTGCTCCTTACTATTCATTGGCCGGCCTCAACCACTCACCTGCTTTCTACGTCAAACTGCTTTTGGTATTGTCTTTTCAGTGGCTGTTTCTTCTGTGTTGGCCAAAACCATCACTGTGGTACTGGCATTCATAGCCACCAAACCGGGATCCAAAATGAGAAAATGGGTGGGGACAAGGTTTGCAAACTCTGTTGTTCTCTGCTGCTCCTTTACTCAAGCAGGTATTTGCATGGCATGGCTGTGGACTGCCCCTCCTTTCCCAGATGTTGACATGCACTCTTTGGCTGAAGAAATCATACTGGAATGCAATGAAGGATCAACCCAGATGTTCTATTGTGTTCTGGGCTACATGGGATTTCTGGCTCTTGCAAGCTTTATTATGGCTTTCCTGGGGAGAAAACTTCCTGACACTTTTAATGAAGCCAAGTTTATCACTTTCAGCATGTTGGTATTTTGCAGTGTTTGGGTTTCTTTTGTTCCAACTTATCTAAGTACTAAAGGAAAATACATGGTGGCTGTGGAGATTTTCTCCATCTTGGCCTCCAGTGCTGGGTTACTGGGTTGTATCTTTTGTCCAAAATGTTACATTATTATCCTAAGGCCTGAACTAAATAAAAAGGATCAGCTAATAAGACGAAATTACTAGATGCCTAAGATGGGGTGATTCGGAATTAAAATTATGCCTCAACACTGGTAAAGCTAGACAGAATGCAATTTGATTAGTGCCTGGAAACACTCATGTACAGAACTTTGTTGTCCACAAAATAAAGTATTTTAATGAAAAAATAGCTTATAAGATTAATTTCTACATAAGTTAGTGGATATTTCAAGCAAAATCTTTGAAACTTATACTATTTTCTCTTCAAGATATGCTGAAAATTTAAAAAACCCTCATCTGTCTGATTTCTATTACTTTTTCTAAATTGAGACACTCAGTCATTCCAAATTTTTTTTGGGAAAAGGCTTGGGAAGAGGGCTAACATCTTCCTCTCCCAAAAACAAGCCCAAATTCAGTTCCTTCATTTTTTGCTGATGATTTCATCTTAAAAAATATGTGGTAGAACGTGAACTTTGGATTTTCTAAATATTCTCTGTCCTTGTCCTCTCCCTCAAAAAGTAAGATTTCAAGAGATTTCCCACAGGATAAAAAAACTATCCCTCTAAGACAGGGCTCATATAGATTCTTTGTTATTTGTTTCTTGGTAACCCAGCAGTTCCAAAGTCTTAAACAATTAATGTCCATTAGCTTCCTGTTTGCACCCTGTCCTGGCTGATGCTTCCCATCCAATAGCCTCCACCTCACTTTATTTACAACCTAAATTACATTGACTGGTCATTCTGAGTCATCTATCAAAATAATAGACGGTAACTATTGAACCATCTCAAATGTTCCATTCTTCAGTAAGATGATTAAATAGGTGGTGGTTGGATAACTGAAAACATTCCTGGATGAACTGGATTGTTTGGACCCTTTCTAATTCTGGTTTCAGGCATGGTTATTGGAATAAAACAGCCTTGGTTGATGGAGTTCACTAGGAAATGGACTGCTCAGTGGCTTTTGATTCCATTGATCATAATACCCTTCCAGACTGCCCTTCTGGGCTAGGACTGTGAGGCAACATTTTGTGATAATTCCAATCCTTACATGGAGGGTAAGTGTCAGAATTGTGGCTCTGGGGGGGATTGCTGCTCAGCCCCTTGGTCTTTGGCCTTGGGGGTTTCATAAGGCTTCATCTTGTCCCCTATACTTTTCAATATCTACATGAAAACTTCTGGATGAGGTCACCTGTAGATTTGGGCTGGATTGTCCCCCATATGAAGATGACATTCATCTCCATCTCATGCTTCAAACTGATCCCAGGAAGGCTGCAGAAAGTCTGGAGGCAGTTTTGGAATGAATAAACTGAACCTTAATCCTGACAAGAAGGAAGTTCTCCTGGTGTACAGAAGGTCTGACCCAGAATTTCAGGTGTCACTCCCCTTGAAAGAAGAGGTCCTTAATCTGGAGGTGCTCTTGAATCCAGACCTACTGCTAGTTAAGCAGGTGACAGCTGTGGCCAGGAGTGCCTTTTACCAGCTTCAACCAGTTAGCTAGCTGCAGCCTTTCCTGGGCAGAAAAAACTATCCACTGTAGTGCATGCCATGGGTACGTCTAGATTAGGTTACTGCAATCTGCTCTATGTGGGGCTTCTCTTCAAAAATGTTCAGAAACTTCAGTTGGTACAGAATATTGTAGCCAGAATGTTGACTGGAGTGAGTCATAGGGACCATATCACTCCCGTCTTGGCCCATCTTCACTGACTCCCTATTTGTTTCCAAGCACAATTCAAGGTGTTGGTCTTGATCTTCAGTGCCATGTATGGTTTGGGACCAACATCCATGAACAACGGCATATTCCCTTATAAACCTGCCTGACCAACAGAGGCCCTGCTTTGGGTGGTCCCCGTCCTAAGGTAAAGGAGGTGGCAACCTGGGAAAGGGTCTTCTTGGTTATGGCACCAAAGCTCTGGAACTTTCTCCTCAGGGAAATAAGGCTGCCCCTTTCTGTTGCCATCTTCTGCCAGTGGGTGACAACTCCCCCCCCCCTACCATTTGGCATTCCATCATTGATCCTCTGGTTTTAAGTGCTTTAGTGATGTGTGCTTGGGGGGATTGATTTTAATGGTTTAAAATGTTATTTCATTGTGTGTGTTTTAAATGTTTAGCTACCCTTGCAGGGCCCTTGTAAAGTAGAAGGGTGAGATACTAATTTTGTAAATAACTAATAAATGTTAATGACAACACTGGCAACCAATATCTGTGAAACAAAATCTTTGTCTTGGGTGCACATGCAGAAATAGTTACCCAGTAAGCAAAGACTGTGAAAAAAATCATCTACATCTTACATAAATGATAATTACTAATTGAGACTGGGAGAAGAGCAAGCTCCCTTTTGAGGAAATCATTAAGCTTACTAAAAGTGGGTGAAGCACAAACATGATCCTAAACAGCTTCAAAGATCTTACAAGCAGTATTGGATTTATTCTGTCAGAAGTTAATATGTCACTGAAGAGTTAGGTGTCAGTTATTTTTCCCCTATACTAGCTGCTTCTCATGTTCAGTTATGCTTTGAATAACAAAGTATTTTGGGAAGAAGATACAACCCAATAAGCTACCACTAGAGGCCAAGTTAGAGAAGATCGCCACAGTCATGGTATATTTCCCCTTGGTGCTTGGATAGGTTGGGACAAAGGATATCCAGACACTACAGAATACCAGCATGCTGAATGTGAGCAGCTGGTCTTCATTAAACATATCAGGTAACTTTCATGCCAGAAAGGCCATGGTGAAAATAATGCTAGCCAGAAGCCCCATAAAGCCCAGTACAGTGTAGAACATGATGTCTGAGCTTTCATGATCAACCTGGGAGAGAATGTCAAACTCAGGAAAAGGAGGGGATGCAGTTGCCAACTAACAGTGGGATATTATCTTGCTTTTAAATGCTAGTTCAGTGTTGTGAATAAAGGGAAAATGGGCAAGAGATTTTTGTGAGTTATAAGGATGGAAGTCTGAGTTGGCATCCCAGATACCGGCAGAGTATGGGGATGATACACTTCACTGGATTGAGAGGGTTGTTTACAACCTCAAGGGAAAACATGGTAGTTCTTTGATGTGTTTAACAATAGAAGAAGAAGAAGAGTTGGATTTACACCTCACACTTACACTTTATAATCTCCTTCCCTTCCCCTCCCCACAGCCTGCAGGGAGGTGGGGCTGAGAGAGTTCTGAGAGAGCCGTGAGTGGCCCAAGGTTGCCAAGCAAGGTTTATGTGGAGGAGGACTGGGAAATCAAACCTGGTTCTCCAGATTAGAGTCTGCTGCTCTTAATCACTACACCAAACTGACTCCCATGTTCTGGCAGGGACCATATTTCTGGTAGGATTGAGACCAGGGAACTGGCATCAGCATAGCATCAGAATAGGCCTAGGGAAAATAGGTGCTGCAGCTGTAGTCTATCAGAATTCTATCATCCCAAGCTCAATGCCCCATCTAGGTCTTTGTCAAAAAAGAAGTATTCCTCCCTCTGTCAGCAGGGGTGTGTGTGTTAATTTGAAGAAACTAATTTTAAAGGCTGGAAAAGGCTACAGCAATCATAATTGGCTTGCATAATTTAATGGTTCCATGCAACAATATCACAATTCTGTCTGAAGTTCATATAATTGGTTGTAGTGATTGGTAACAATTGGAAATAAATGATGGCTAGGAGTATCTTATCCAGGGAGCTGTAAAATTGGATCCATTTGTCCAATTCTCTTGAAACTTGAGGATCATTAGTCGAGATGGGGAATTAATCTACTGAGATCTTGGTTCCATTTGGTGAGAAAGCAGTTATTTCAAACAATCTTCCATTTCTCTCCATTTTCTCCCACAGGAAATATGTGAAAGACATCTGGTCCAACATGACTTTCCTATTTGATAAACACACTCCTGACATATAATGAAAATAATATTCTTGCCTTTTCAGAAAATATATGGAATTAAAATGATCCCCCCAAGCATACATCCCTGAAAGAAACTGGGTGTGTGTGTGGCAAATCAGGGTGCATTCTTGCTTTGATATTTGGAATAAGGGTGCATGAAAAAATTGGATAATGGCAAGAGAGAGATCAACCATGTTTGTTTCAATACTTCTGGTGCATCAGTGCCACACAGCTTGCAATTCTTTGGGGAGCTGAGTGTGAAACTTGCAATTATCCCCGGGCACAGGTGTTCATTCTCAATGTTATCAGTGGCCACAGGATGCTTCTGAGGCCACAAGCATGGTCAGCATCACAAAGAAGCTTATATAAAATACTCTCAGGGGCATCTAGATTGAGAAAAATGACTGAGTCCATGGAGGGTAATAAAGACTTCAGGAATGGGATTATAACTTGGGCTGATCCAGCATAATACAGAATTTGAGAAAAACCATAAATAAGGGAATTTGTGTCCATAGCATCATATTTTTCCCATCAAGATGACAGAATCATCCTTCTTGTTACTGCTTTTGATTCCAGTCCTGCTGCCTCAAACAGATCTCAAACTGCACCCTGTAATGTGCAGAATGAACAACCCCATCCACATCGAGCGCCAGTATTATCAGACAGGGGACCTCCTTATTGGTGCCATCACTTCTCAGATCTTCTCTCTTTCCTATGCTCCTGTTCTTTTTAAGGAGACTCCCCAGGCTGTGCCAATTGAAGAGCATTTGTAAGGAAGTCATTTTGCTGTCTTAGAAATAAATCAGATTCTTGGAATATACCATTTACAGGAGTATGTTCCTGAAATTAATCTGAAAGAGATATTCTATATTCCAAAGTATAAATTTGGTATCAGAATTCAGAACTCAATTCTTTATTCCAAAGTAGAATATAGAAGGGCTTTTATGCTTGTATGCCTGAATGCCCTACCCTCACAAGCGATGGTAGGAAGATACTCACATGACTGTGCAATTGTGAGAGCAAGAAGATTGATGCTGTCGACCATATCTTCTTTGGCTGTCCTAAATTCTCAGAACTAAGAGCTGAATTGATCTCCCAATTTTTTAATCAGACCTCTCTTTTTTCCAAAAGCTAAATCATCCTGGCTACTCAAAGACAAAAGTTGTCTTCTTGGACAACTTTTAGGTTCCATGGGATGAGGGTTTGCTGTTTAAGACTTAGGCTGTAAAAATAATAATAAGTAAAAGGAAAAAGAATTTGGTATCAGAATTCAAAATGAAATTTTGACAAGGTTTTGTAGCAGCAATCTGATTAATGGAATGTGCTCTGATTTTATGTAAGAGAGGATAAACATTGGCGAATTGCTTTCCAAGGTATATACTGTCCAAGGTTGACATCAAATAGTGGTGAGTTTTGATTCACTGCGTACCTTCACACCAAGATAGCATTTGCTGATCGTTCAGCATAATCTGGGAGCAAGAAGTAGGAGCTGATGAAAGCAGGAAGTTCATGAAGGTAGAACATCTCCCTTATGCTATTTTTTAAAATCTTGTTTTAGGATCGTGCCAAAGAATTACCAGCACATTCTATCCTTGGTATTTGCTGTGAAAGAGATCAATGAAAACCCCAACATCTTACCCAACCACACTTTGGGGCTCCACGTTTATGAAAGCTACTTCAATGCAAGGATAACATATCAGAACACCTTGAACCTTGTCTTCAGTCAGAATTGGACTGTCCTAAATTACAAATGTGGCAGTAAGAACCTGATAGCAGTTATAGGGGGGCTCAGCTCTGACATTACTCTCTACATGGCCACCATCTTAGGCATCTACAAGATTCCCCAGGTCAGAGGAGAGTGGTGGGAGTGAAGCATGTGGTTAAAAAGCAGGAGTTTGTGTGGGGATTTGAAATGACAACAAATACAAATTTAAATGATGCATTACTTATTTTTTCATGGTTAACAGAGTTAGATGGAAAGAGAGGGAGTAGTGAATGGAAACCGAAGGAAAGAATGAGAACAGTGAAGATTAAAGATAATGAAATCAAGATGCATTTTTTTCCCTCAGTGGTCAAGCAAACGTATTTGCCATTTAAGGAAACGTTTTATGTCATCAGACTATGAAAGATTTTGTCACAATCCATCGGTTTAGACTTTAAACTTACACAAGAAACTTCTTGTGTGCTTTTTCTCATATAACAAGACTAATATTGATACATTTATGAGACATAATACCATGAAAGAAGAAAGTCAGGGTTGTTTCATGCAGAGGGCAAAACTCCAAGTAACCAGTTCAATCTTTCCCTTTATAGTGTAAAGATTTGTTTCATTTATACTCCTCCTTTCATCCCTAGGGGGGCCTAAAGCGGCGTACATTGTTCTTCTCCCCTCCATTTTACCTTTACAGCAACCCTATGAGGCAGGTTAGGTTGAGAGTGTGTGACTGGCCCAAGGTCACCCAGCAAGCTTCCATGGCAGAGAGGAGTTTTGAACTGGGATTCCCCAGATCCTAGTCCCATGCTGTAAACACTACACGTTACTGTCTCTGTAATTTATTTTAGTAAAACTAAAATAGGTAAGCCATGTTTGATTTCACAGTTTAAATCTGGATGTTATATTTCACTGATATGTCAAAATAAGAGCCAGTGTGTAAGGCAAAAGAGCACTTAATTTAGATTTGGGAACAAAATGGATAACTCTGGACTGCTCCCTATGTCACAAGTGATCCATATTCATGGGTGTCTTGTGATGCTCAAACTGGGGGGGGGGGGAGACCAGCTTCTTGGACAACAGCCAGGGCACAGATCTGACAGATAGAATTAGAGTTATGACTAAGCCATGATAGTTTCAGTTAGGTCATCAAGTTAGTTTGCATTTATTTATTTCCTTACTTATTTTATTTATAGCTTACATTTCACACTGAGGCTTATCAGATGCAGTGAGCTCTTGCGGAAATAATTTGTGTTAGTCCTTAAGGCGTATCGTACTCCTATTTTATTTAACTAAGTATGTATTTGACTATTCTGAACATATGCCACTATCACTTTCCTGGTGACAATTTCTTTATTCATGCTTAGGTCACTGGCAGCTTCTTTGCTTCAGCGGCAGATGACAAAATTCACCTCTCGTCCTTGTACCAGATGGTCCCCAATGAAGCCCATCAGTACACTGGGATGGTTCAGCTTCTTCTGCATTTCCAGTGGAAATGGGTTGGCCTCATCATAGTGGGTGATCATCAAGGTGAAAAGTTTGTGCAGACTCTGACCCACCTGTTTTCCCAAAATGGCATCTGCCCTGCTTTCACTCAAAAACTGGTAACTCATAGTGATTTTTTAGACAAATTCCTTATGATGCAATCCTATCTGGATACCTCCAAGTTCTTGACCCACACAGATGTGAATGTATTTGTTATAAATGCTGAGACTGAAACAATAATAACAATGCAGTGGGTGTTACTGGCTGCTGAACTGAATATGATGCCATCGATTTGCAATGTGTGGGTGATGACAGCCGACTGGGATTTCTCATCGGAGACGTTTCACAGGTTCTTGGATGTACAAGTCTTCCATGGTACTTTATCCTTTGCCAGTCACTCCAATGAGCTCCAAGGATTTCAACGTTTCCTTCAAACCCTGAGACCTTACTCTGACAGAGATGGCTTTATCAGAGTCTTCTGGGAACAGGCCTTTGACTGCTTCTTTCCAGATACTGATAGCAGTGGGGTGACCAAGAAAAGCTGCACGGGGGAAGAAAAGCTTGAGAGCCTTCCGGGTCCACTATTTGAAATGAGCATGACAGGCCACAGCTACAGTATCTACAATGCTGTCTATGCTGTGGCACATGCATTCCATGCCATGCATTCATCCAGAACCAAACACACGGGAATGGTAGGTAGAGACATTTAGGAACAACAACCATGAAATACCCCAGAGGGAACATAGTGTTTTTTAAAAAACCAAACTGATAACATGGGGTCACAGTGTCTAATATGTGTACTAACATAATGAAATCCATTCATTTGTTATCAAGATATTCAGAAATTTTTATACTTTACTAATTCAGAAATTGTTATATTTCACTAGAATTGTCTCGATTTTTTGTTTTCAGGACATTCAGAAATTGTTACTCTTTACTGGGACTCTTTGCACTCTACATAGTAAATCTTTGCCCTATATAACAACAATTTGCTTTTACAAAATTATGGACATTTTTTCCCCCATTCTTGTTGTGAAAACCAAAAGGCCAGAAGGTCTTTTGATTTCTTCCAGCTTCTTGATAACCTTGTTGTTACCATCGTGATCATTGTATCAGAGTAAAATAGTGCTAAAGCTGGTGTTTGCAAATCCTTCAAAAATGCCCTGTCATCTGTCTAATTGACATAAACCACGGTCTTCTTGAGGTATCTGAAGAAATAACATATACATTTTCTAAATTTAAAAAGGCATTAAATAATATACGCTGTGAGCTCTCATGTGCAATTGTAACCCTATGCATGCCTATACTCAGGGCTTTTATTGGGCAGGAACACACAGGAACGGAGTTCCAGCTGGCTCCTGAGTTGGCTACGCCCAGCAGGAACTGATTAGCATAATAGGCCACATCCAGCAGCAGAAACTCATTATGGGTGTGTAGCCTAACATGCAAAGAAGTTCCTGCTACAAAAAAAGTGCTGGGTTTTCACAACAAACAAGGTAAACAGAATAAGAAGCAAAAGGTAGGTGTGGCTGGATGACCACACTTCTGGTAACATGGATCTGTGACCTAATATGCTGATGAGTTTCTGCTGTTGGGTGTGGCCTATTATGTTGCCAGAGGCACTGCCTTTACTCGCCGCTAGCCCCAATAGCAAGGGCACCCCTCTTTCTAACCTGACCCAGAGACCCACAAAACTCAGGCCAAGGAAGGCACCCTTGGTTCTGAAACACAGCGTTATCCACAGCTCTGAAAAAGGGGTCTCCATTTTCAGGTGACAGACAACTTCAAAGCAAACCTCCAGTCTTCCCCTCTCCACCCAGCAGAGATTATGTTTATGGAATAACAATGAGTTCCAGCAGGTGAAGTATCTACATTTTCTATTCAGAGGCCACCTGGAAAATAGTCCTCTTCTCTCCAGTACCTCACTCAGCCCTTTTGTGTCATTCTGTGTCTATGTGTAAATTCTTTATCTTTCCTGCTCTGTCCCTCAGGATACCGGGACAAACCAATCATTCATTCAAATGTTTAGCAATCCTTCCTGATGCTAATCAGGGACTCATCCCACCTTTTGTCTATATTTGGGAACCTATGCAACTACCTTGGCCAGGACCATTAGTGGTCAGATAATCCATTCAACTAGCCACCCAGCACCCGGCTTCTATTGTTAAATCCAGGCCCTACCTCTCTGGAAGCTCATTGGTCACATCTAGGCCTTGCCCATCCTGATGCCACACACCCCTGGGACTCATCATTGGTCCAGGAAATCTATTGTTCTCACCTGAGACCAGCCCCCAGGGCCGCCCATTGGTCTGCATTGTCTTCCAATGGGTATATCCCAGCGAACACATGGCCTTAGACTGCCATGTGCCAACTGGCAGTCCACCCCTGGAACCCTCTGGGTTTTAGGTCACAACCCTTTCTTCATGGACCTCTGCACATCTGGACAGGTAGTATCACCCCATAACCCCTCTATTAGCTATCAATCACTTCTGCTTCCTTAGGTCTGTATTGTGTGTGTGAATGTTTAATCACTGTTTGTGTGCTTGAGAATATTTAGTAAATAAATCCTTATTTTAGCCACCCAGTCTCTTTGTATATTCCTGGGTTCTTGGGAATTCTAACTCTGGTATACACAGGTCTGATCCTACAGAGATGCCAATTGCATATTAATAATCATAATTCCCCATATTAATAACATATCAAGGCAATTTGGCTAACAATTATGCTAATGAGTTCCTGCTGGGCTTTTTCTACAAAAAAAGCCCTGCCTATACTCATAATGTGCTTATACAATCCTATTCAAAGCTACTGTCATCTAAACTAGGGGTGTGCAGAAAAATTGGTATTTTGGGGGTTTGGGTATATAGAACCCCCAAAATATTGGTATTTGCCAATATTCCCTAATCAAAACATTGGAATGATATTTATCTTTTGCCATTTGAAATATTCAAAAAACCCCAAATGATTCAGTTTTAAATGTCTGGCCGAAGGGGGGAAACGAAAGGGAGTGCTGAAATGGCTTCCTGCCATTTAAACTGAACAACTGACAGACAGACACACTGGTCAGCTGTTAATTTGAATGACTGCAAGCCATTACAGATGTCCCTTTAAATTCTTCCCACTTAGAAGGGGGGGGGGGAAGGAAAGGGAGTTCTAACATGTATTGCAGCTGTTCAGACCAAACAGTGCTTTCAAACTGTGAGGAGGGAGAGGGAGGTCTGAATTGGCATGCAGCCGTTAGGACCAAATAGCGATCCAGGTCTGCCTGTCAGCTGTTTGGTTTAAATTGCCACAAGCCATTGCAGACCTCTCTTTCCCTCCCCCCTGCTTCCAAATGGAGTAGAGGGAAAGGGAGGTCTGAAATGGCTTGCAGCTATTAAGATTGAACAGAGTGGTGGGTCCACCCATCATCTGTTCGGTTTAAATGGCCAAAAGCTTTTTCAGACCTTCCTTTTCCTCTACTAGTGTCCAAATGGAAGGGGAGGGAAAAGGAGGTCTGAAATGGCTTGCAGCCATTCAGACTGAACAGCACAGTGTCTGCCCATCAACTGTTTTGTTTAAATGGCCACAATGTCTGAAATGCCTGTGAGTGATTAAATTGGTCAGTTTCACTCCTATCCTCTTCAAATTGGAAGAAGAAGAAGAGATTGGATTTATACCCTGCCCTTCACTACCCAAAGGTGTCTCAGAGTGGCTTACAAACTCCTTTCCCTTCCCCTCCCCACAACAGATACCCTGGGAGGTGGGTGGGGCTGAGAGAACTCTGACACAAACTGCCCTTTTTCAAGGACAGCTGTGCCAGAGCTTGTGACTGACCCAAGGTCATCCAGCCAGGTGCAAGTGGAGGAGTGGGGAATCAAACCCGGTTCTCCCAGATTAGAGTCTGCACACTTAACCACTACACCAAACTGGAGAGGAGTGAGACTTACTAATTTAATGGCTCACAGACATTTCTGCCTAACAGTAGATGGGTGCACCCTCCCCACTGTTAGGCTGAAATTCCTTCGACCATTTGACCCTTTCCTTTAGCTGCCCCCCACTTTCAAGTGGGTGTAGTAAAACCAATGGGTTAAATGGTTCTCAGTCAGCCTGACAGCAGGTTTTGTAAGTCAGTCTGAGACCAGTGGCAGTGAGGACTCCTCAGAAGAGGAGGAACCAGCTGTAGCAGCACGGAGTCAGCAGTTGATTAACAAGGGGTCGAGATACTGGCTGATCATGACTCACAGTCCACAACAGCAGCCAGTCAAAAACCCTGCAGATCCAAATCAGCAAACAAGCCTCCAGATGCAATTCTCAGCTCACCTGTTCCTCCCACACCCTTGGAATGGAGTGGCGTGCAGAGCTGCAGTTAAGGAAAAAGAGTGTGCATCTCCTGGGCCAATGCCAGTTGTCAACTGATAAGGCAGATGAGTAGTTGCTGGATGACTGCCAAGTAAGCTGCCCATAAGCATGTCTCATTAATGCTTAGCTATAAACCAACCAAGAGCAGATGCTGGATGTGGACACAAGTATGCTTGAGACTGAGCCACTGATGTTTCTAATTACCTGCTCTCTGGAACCTTTCACCCTGGACTGGACTTGGACACCTGTTATCTGGAACCCCTGATCCTGGACAGGGCTTGGACGACCTGCTTTCTGAACCCCCTGACTTTTGAACTATGAGAGCCATTAAACTGTTCATTTTCACTCCCCTTCGTTTTCAAGAGGGGAGTGAAACTGACCAGTTTAAAGGCTGGTAGGCATTTCTGCCTAACAGCGGATGGGTTTGTGCACTAGACAAAAACTAATAACTGAAAGCCCTCCAACAACTGAGAGGCATGCAGGGTATAAGTACAAACTAACAGACAGGAGGAAACACAGCAAGAGGCAGTAAGGAAGTGAGCGAAGCATTCAGTAGACTCTAAGCAGTAGAGTGTATACCTTTCAGCTCCTCCTAGAGTTAAAATGCACTCAGTATGTCCTGTGTATTTGTATTAATTAATTTGCTACCATGCTGTCACATCTCAGACAAGATGGAAGGAATGCAGGATGATGGAGTTAGCTGCTTCCTGTTTTCTTATGCATAGGGTTTCCAACTTTGGGTTGGGAAATTCCTTGAGATTTGGAGGTAGAACCTAGGAAGGGCAGGGGTTGGAGAGGGACCTGGGGGGGGGGTATATTTTCATAGATTCCACTCCTCCAATACAGCCATTATATCTAGGGGAACTTTTCTCTGTAGATCTGTTGTAATTTGGGGAGATCTCCAGGCTGGACCTGGAAGCTGACAACCCTATTTATGCGTCCACTCCCCCTTATATAATCTGCCTTTATTTCTTCCATTCTAGATTCACCCTTTTCTGAGGAGCGTTTCATTCAACAACAGTGCTGGGAACACAATATCTTTCAATGAGAATGGTGAATTAGTAGATCGATTTGATATTATCAACTGGATCACCTTCCCAAACCAGTCCTTCTTAAGAGTGAAAGTTGGGGAAATGGATCCCCAAGCTCTACGAGGCAGGGAGTTTTCCATTAATGAGACAAGCATCATGTGGCCCAGCAGATTTCAAAAGGTAGGACTTAACTGTAAATTCTAGAATATACAGTGAAATGAGGAAGTATTAGTACTTTGTTCATTCTTTAGACTTTATTTGTTAAATTCCACTTAGAAGCACTAGCCCTTATGGTAAACACTGTAGAAAGTCCATTGCATGAAGAATGTTTCCCAGGATGCAGAACACTGCAATTGTGACCTGATTGACTGGTTTCAGTACTAAAATTCCATCATGTAATCAAGATTCAGTAAAAGTTGGCTGAAGCTGGAAGAGACTGGTTATGTAGAGTGAAAGTAAATTTGAAAATGGTGTTCAGATTATTGTAACTGTCTGCCTTAATTTGTTATTATTACCTTTGTTCCCGAGTTCCTAATCACACAGCACCATAGTTCTGCAGAAGAACAGGTAAACTCAATAGTGTTATATTGGGTACAGACTGTAGCTTCCTAGGACTCTGCCTATTGAATTTCTTAACTGTTTTCTGATTGGAATTCAAAAGGGAATATGTTCTTTGGGGGAGGGACTAGTGCCACAGATTTCAAGCTTCATAAAATCTTCCAAGAGAACAAACAGGTTTGAAAACATAATTCAGACTCAGCAACATACCTTTCTACATTAATAACCTCATTAAGGGAAGGGGAACTGTTTCTCTTAAAATATACAAGGCGAGGGGGAAACCTCTTTGGCCTCCGAGGGAAGGTTGTTCCACATCACTTCAACAATCACAGCAAGTTTGTATTACTAGTGAATGGCCCCGGTAACACGGGCCGGAAAATGCGGGGAAGGGGGGGAGCGTGGCTATTTGTGCCATTGCATTGTGATGCGCTATTATGTGATCAGACGCGACGGTGGCTTCCCCGCAGCAAAGCGGACGACGGGGGAGGAAGCCGCGCGCCAGTGCGATCACACCGGGAGGCTTCCATAGGCGGCCCGTGGCAAAGCGTTTGCTAGTACATGCGATGTACTAGTTTTTTTACTGCGCAGCTTCGGCGGCTTGCCATGGGGTCGCCACAGGAGTGCTATGCCTCCCAGATGTTCCTGTGTGATCGCACCCGGATACTCCGCGGGAGTCCCGTGCCTTCAGCGGGGCAAATGCTCCGTGTGAACGGGGCCAATGTCAGTCAAGCATCTCTCTGTAATGATACTCTAATCTGCCAGAGCTACAGTTATCAGCCCAAGCCTTGTAACAGTTGGAAGCACTGGGACTGGGGAAGGGTGGCCTAGCAAATCTAATTTAATAAACAAACAAACAAATGAGGTGGTGATGTTGCTACGTTACTTCCTGATAAAACCCAGAAATGGCAAAGGGTAGCTCCAGGAAATGTAATAATCTCTATGGTAAATTCAGGTTTAAACTGGAAATGACATAGTGATGTTGCCAACATCATTAAAAAAAAAAATTCTCACCACCACATGAAACAGCAGTAAAAAAACCACGACTGGCTGGCAGGACCTGCTGAATAGATCAGGAATGAATTCAGTTGCTGAATTCTCCCAGTTGCTCAGGGATCAGTGTTTATTCCCCCTCCAAAAAAGTAAGTTATTAAACCTCAAGGTTACAAATGCTGCCAATTGAACTGTTCTGTATTGTAGTCTTTGAATGCATGAATACGTTCTACCCTGTCAGAGCTCTCTCAGACCCACCTACCTCATAGGGTGTCTGTTGTGGGGAGGGGGAGGAAAAGGAGTTTGTAAGCCGCTCTGAGACACCTTTGGGTAGTGAAGAGCGGGGTATAAATCCAATCTTCTCTTCTTCTGCTTAAATTAGCTGAACTGCTTGATGAAGAATCATCTTGCTGCTCATATTGGAAATCACAAATCAAGTCACGCCATTTCATGTGTCTGGCACTGGAGAAAGCATCTGAGGCATCAGTTTTCTTTGCATCTCAGGCTGAGTTGGTAGTGAAATTGTCGTCCGTTTGGGAGAGTTCTCAAGATATTGTAAATTACAGTGTTACAATTGGTAATCACAAAGGCTCTTCCACACTCTGGTTTTTTGTTTCTTGTGTGCCCCATTGCTGCAGGGATGGAAGTTCTTCTCTCCATATGGTTTTTCCAAGTGGTTTTCTCCATGTGGTTTACTCCCTCTAGCAGTCAAAGGGGAAGAGAGAAGGAATAGAGACACACAAGAAAGGAAAATGAGAACACAGAAGAGTCCAATATAAGCCTCACAAAAATAGCATTAACAACAGTTTGCACATAAGGCTCAAGGCTCTCTCATGGACAGAGCAGCACAACAACCTGTAGATTACAAGATCATGAATTAGTAAATAAAACAGCATTAACATTGTATCTCCCTTTTCATGGACAGGTTGTGCCCATTGCTCTGTGTAATGATAACTGCCTTCCTGGTTACAGCAAGAAAAGGAAAGAGGGGCAACCATTTTGTTGCTATGAGTGTGATCCATGTCCAGAAGGGAAGATTTCAAACCAAAAAGGTAGGCCATGTCATATCATAAAGCTTAGAAGTTTAGATGCTGAGCAAAGTGGGGAATCATTTGAGAAAAGGATGATTAGTAGTGTAGAAGCAGCTGCTGACCCAGAAAGTGCCAAAACAACAACAACAAATTAAAGTGAAAGCACATTAGAACTGAGCAGCTCCCTGTGTTTGTCTGCATTACCCTTTTGAATTTTCTTCTCCCATGCAGAGAACTATCAGCATTTTCCCATGAGCCCATGTTCTATTTTCCCCCCCATGTTTATTTTTCACATTTTCAAAAAACAACAATACAAACATTTAGTTTTCTTAGATTACCTAGAATTATAGAGTCTATACATCTACTACATGTTTTATCCAATTGTATACCCTTAACCATCTTTTATTCTGTACTTTATTGTCTTTACCTTGAAGCAATAAACTCAAGTTATCCATATGTGCAAGTTCTAGCAATTTAAATATTAAGTCCTCTTTTGAGGGTTTTTTATCTGTTTTCCAGTTTTTTGCCAATAATATTCGAGCAGCCGTTATAAGATATGTTAATAAATATACATCTTGTGCTGAGTAGCCATTTGGAATTATATTTAACAAATATATTTCAGGTGTTAATAAAACGTCTAAACTCAAAATTTCTTATATTATGTTATGTACCATTTCCCAATATTTTTGTATTTTGCTGCATTTCTACCACATGTGGTAAAAGGTCCCTACATTTAGTTTACATTTCCAGCACTTATTGGATGTGTTGGGATAACACTTTGCTATTTTATCTGGGGACCAATACCACCTATGAAACATTTTATATTTTCCGTTTACGATACAGCTCTCATATATTTTACAGACTTCCATATTTGAGCCCATTGTTCTATTTCTATATTTCCCCCCCATATATTTCATCCATGATATCATTGTAGTTTTAATGGTTTCATCATACTCTTAATCCTCCAGTAAAATCTATAAAGTTTCTGAATTAATTTGTCACTTGATGACCGCCAGATCTTATCAAGTTGATTATTTTGATCTTTGAAATCTCTTAACCTATCTCTACCATATCTATCTTGCAATAGTGAGCGCTCCCACCGAGATAAATTAATTTGATGTTTACGCTGTAATTTCTCTTCTGTTTTTAATTTAACGTTTCTCTCAAGCATTATTTGATAACTTGCTTTTTTACTCATTGACAAAAGTGAAGGTTTTACAAATGCTTCTAGAAGGGAAACCCACCTTGGTGTCCTCTTATAAAATCTCTCTTTTATGTCATTCCAAATTTTCTCTTTTTTGTACCAAACATAAGAGTGCCAACCCATGTAGAGGTCATGACCTTCTAGCACTAGTATTCTAGTATCTTCCAGGGTGATTCAATCTTTTATCCAAACTAAAGAGGCCGCTTGGTAATATAGTGCCCAGTTGGGTACATCCATTCCCCCTTTATCCCTTCTGTCTTGGAGAACTTTCCACTTAATTCTTGACCTTTTAGGATGCTATATAAATTTCCTTGTAATTCTATCTAGTTTCACGAAAATTTTTGATCTTTTTAATATAGGAATATTTTGGGCCAAAAATAAGAATCTTGGTAATATATTCATCTTTATCGCGGCAATTTTGCCCATAATGGATAATGGTACGTCTTTCCATCTCAAAAGATCGCTTTTGATTTCTCCTAACAGCTTATAATAATTATCATCTATTCAAGAACTACATTTGTTGGATAGGTTTATAAGCAAATATTTCACTTTTTTCACTATTTCAATAGATGTTATTTTTTGAATTTCTTGTACAGTACTCAGCAGACAATTTTTCTTTTCTTTTTTTTTGCCCCCCCGGGAGGGGATTTTTTTATTGCATTTTTTAATTAAACTACAAACTACAACGAAAGTAGAGAAAGGGGACTACATTTAAGGAGAAAGAAAAGATTAACCACTACTGACTAAAAACCCAAGAGAGGAGATTATTACAACCGCTTTAGTAAAAAGTTTTTCTTAAAACGCTAGTATCTTTTGAACTTAGTCAGACATGCTAAAATATCTTTAAAGTCTTAAATTTAACTATTAGAGAAAACCCCCAGAGCTTGTCATTATTAAAAACTATACTTTCAAAGGCACAAATCAGAATCCTTCAGTCTTCATTTGTTCTTTTTTTAATTTTAATTTTCATTTTTCCATAACATACACTCCATATAATTTCCAACATTCTGGGGTTACATTAGACATTTTCTTCAATCCACTTATTGACATTTTGCCTTTTTTTGATTAAAATTACTTTCTGTTTTTCCCGCCAAGTACATATTCAGCTTATCCATTTTTATTATTTCAAAAAGCTTCGTAATCAACTCTTCCCTAGTCGGTATTCTTTCTGTTTTCCAATTCTTTGCTATTGTTATTCTTGAGATTGCAATTATGTAAACTCATTATGTTTAATCCCCTCTGGTGTGATATTAAGTAAAAAGATTTCTGGTGTGATTGGCAAATTGATTCCTGTAATTTCTTCTATTAACTGCTTAATACTTTTCCAGAATTTTTGTATTTTCTCACACCTCCACCAGATATGAATATACGTTCCTATATTATTCTTACACCTCCAACAATTTCCAGAGACATTAGTGTAGCATTTAAGCAATTTATCCGGTGTCCAGTGCCACCTATATAACATTTTAAATATATTTTCTTTATACGATGTGGATCTTAAGAATTTAATAGATCTCCATGTTTTTTCCCATTCTTCTAGTCTTATATTGCGCCCTAGGTCTTTTGTACAAGTTATCACTGACAGTTTTATCCACTCCTCCCTTGTTTCCTTTTCTAGCAGGAAGTTATATAACTTTTGAATCAGTTTATCCTCTGATTTTAACCATATGTTATCCAATTCTGATTTTACTTTATAGAAACACATTACTTTATAGAAACACATTTTTCTTGAGTTTAGTTGTATCTTTTCCCAATTTGTAAGTTTGATATTCATTGATAGTATCATTTCCCAAGAAATTTGTTCTTATTTGTCATTTGTTCTTATCTTGTCTTTTACTCAGTTTGTATGGACTTTTAGGGGCAACCACCCCTTTTTCAGAAAGAGAGTCCTCCCTAGAAGACCTCGCGTTCAACTCACCACTGGACTTGCTGTCCTTCTCCTCTTTATCCACCTCCTCTGGCTCACCCATCTGGATTCTCAAAAACTCCCATGCTTTGGAGACAGAGTCAATCTTTTCTTTTTTGTCCTGAAGTTTGAAGGTTATGCCCTCCGGAGTTAACCACCTGTACACGATTGCATTTGTTTGAAGAAAAAGAGTTAAATCTTTATATTTCTTTCTCCGTTGTCTTATTTCAAATGGGATGTCTTTCAAAATTCTAATAGTATTGTCCCCAATTTTCAAAGGTGACCCTGCAGTTGCTCTCAGGATAGAATCCCTCATGTGCCTCTTCGAGAATCTGATTATTATTTCCCCAGGCAGATTATTCTTCTTTATGTATACGGAATAGGACCTGTAGGCCACATCCATCTCGCTCATAAGGTATTCTGTCTTGAAATATGTCACTGGGGCCAATGCTTTGCTCATTATTTGCTTCAGATTCTCACCTTTGGATTCTGGGACACCTTGGAATCGGAGGACCAGGTTTGCCTTCTCCATTAGCAACTGCAAAAGTTGTTCTTCTGTAGAAACTTGCTTCTTTTTAAATTGTTGCACCTTTTTCTTCACCTTTTGAGTACTGGCGTCAACTTCTTTCACTTTCTCAGCTGTTTGCTCTGTAATCTTAAGAGTCTCATTTAATTGTAGCTGCTGAGTAGTGATGCTTTGATTCATAGTTGACAACTGTTCCTTGAGATTAGTCATCTGGTCCAGCAGGGGGAGCAGGGATTCTACCAACGTTTTAGCCAGCTCGGTGGATTCTTCCAGGTGAGGATGTATACTGGCCCCACTTCTTTTTAATCTATTTTTGAATTATCTTCCATCAAGGTTGGAGCATGTCAATGGCCACCCTCCTAAATTGGGATCTTGAAAGATCCCGCTTTTGCTTATGCAGATGACACTACAATTTTTTCTTGCACCAGGGTCAGTCTTCTCAGATATTTGCACACTTTTCATAAATTCTGTGCTGATAACTCTTTGGTCATTAATTATTCAAAGTCCAAAGTGCTGGTCTTTTCTAAACATTGAAGCCTATGAAGTAGAAGGTAGGGAAAATGGAGTTTGCCAAGGTTAAAAATTTCAAATACCTAGAGATTACTTTTCAATGTAACCTTAATTAGTCAACCCATAGATCCTGTAATATTTCTTTAATTAAACTATCTGTTTCACACCTTAAACAATTATTTTATTCCAGAGGGAATCAATATTTACCAGGCACCATAAAGATCTTTGAAATTAAAATTTTCCCTCAACTATTATATGGAAACCCCGTTTGGATAACGGACTTTCATAATAACCTTGAAAGACGACAGGCCTGTCTTTTTCACCAACTTCTAGGCATTTCTAACTGTGTTCCATACTTCTGGGCCAACATTTTATAAATATTAAATGTTGGTTATTAACTTTTAAATTTTGGTTGAAAATACATTTCAGATCATCACCAAATTCTTTAATCTCACATTTTAAAAATGATGCTTATAGCACATTCTAGTTGGCATATATTGAGAAGAAAATTAGTCAAATCGTTTTTTTCTTAGAGTATTTCTATTCACTGGATGAAATCTCTATTTTCCAGATTTTGAAATGGAGGCTGCTTGACCCTGAAGTCAAAAACTTACGTCCTGTACAATTTTGCATATTTTCTCAGGCTCAGTTGACTCTCCCAATACAATATGGCCAGATGGCCCCCTATCTTCACAACTTAGTCCAGCGTTCGCATCGTAGAGCCTTTACACTAGCCCGACTAAATGTGTTCCCTTCAAAAGAGCTCTCAGGTTGGTTTAATAAAACTCCCCCTCATGAAAGCTTAGGTTCTTGTCCTTTAAAATCCGTGGACTCAATATATCATATTGTTTCTGACTCCCAATTTCACTCAGTCTTACACAAAGAATTGTTGTCATCTTTATTTCCTCCTAATTATAGTTCTAATAGGGAAAAAGCTATTCGAGGGCTGCGGTCACACGCAACATTAGCCACGCAAGAGATACGGAAGACAAGCGGAGTTTCCGGTCGCGATCTCACCAGCACATCTGGGAAGCGTAGCGCTTCCGTGGCACAACTGAGGCTTCCTGCCGAAAAAGCGCAGCAAAAAACTAGTACCTTGGAGGTACTAGTTTCCAGAAACTGCGGGGCAAGGGCGGGCGTCTGATCGCGTTTCCGGTGGCATCCGGCGCCCGCCCATGTCCCCTTGCGGAAAAGGGTTTTTTTTCCCCCAAGTCTCCGTGGATGCGCACACGCACCCAACGGAGCATGCGCATTCGTAGTGTACACAAAAAAAGAAAACCAGTTTGCCGCGCCGTGCGCTTCTTCATTGCGCGCAGGCGTGTGTTGTGATCGGCACCTCTCCCTACCCACGGAAGCTCCACAGTACCTCCACAGAACCTCCACAGTAGGTCTGATCGCTTTACTGCATGTTAGTTTGCCCCGGGGCAAACAGCCACACTTCTCTTCTGCAGTTTCCTGCCCGTGTGGCAGGGGCCAATATCTACTAAAGGATGCTAATCCTAATATTACAGCTATAGTGGCCAAATTTCTTGCCGAAGTAATCAAAGTTAGATCTACTCTAGTAAAGGATTAACTTATATTGTTTATTATGTTTTATATATCCATACCGTGTTATTGTACATCTATGTATCTTACTGCTATGCCAGTAAAGGTATTTGACTTTACTATTTTTCTCTGTTTTTTAAGATGCAGATGACTGTTTCCAGTGCCCAGAAGGTCAATACCCAAGTGATGATAAAAACCGATGCCTTCCAAAGATGGTAAACTGCTTGTCTTATGACGAACTCTTGGGCATCAGCTTGGCTGTTTTGGCCTTCTCCCTCTCTGGAACCACAACAATGGTGTTAGCAATCTTCATCAAGCATAGGAACACTCCCATTGTCAAAGCCAACAATCGGAATCTCACGTACACTCTGCTCATCTCTCTTCTGCTCTGCTTCCTCTGTTCCCTGCTCTTCATTGGTCAGCCTCAGGTCATTATCTGCCTTTTACGCCAACCTGCTTTTGGCATCATCTTCTCCGTAGCTATTTCTTCTGTGTTGGCCAAAACCATCACAGTGGTTCTGGCTTTTATGGCTACTAAACCAGGATCCAGGATGAGGAAATGGCTGGGGAAAGGATTCACAAACTTTGTTGTTTTCTGCTGCTTTTTTACCCAAACTAGTATTTGTATAGCATGGCTTTGTATTGACCCTCCATTCCCAGATATTGACATGAACTCTCTGGCAGAAGAAATCATAGTAGAATGCAATGAAGGCTCAGCCATCCTGTTTTCCTGTGTTCTGGCATACATGGGCTTTCTGGCCTTTGCCAGCTTCATGGTGGCTTTCTTTGCTAGGAAATTGCCTGATACTTTTAATGAGGCCAAGTTTATTACCTTCAGCATGTTGGTGTTTTGTTGTGTGTGGCTGACTTTTGTTCCAACTTATCTTAGCACCAAAGGGAAATATATGGTAGCCGTGGAAATCTTCTCTATCTTGGCATCCAGTGCTGGATTGTTGGGTTTCATATTTTCCCCCAAACTGTATATCATTGTTTGGAAGCCTGAACTAAACTGCAAGGAGCAGCTAGTAAAGAGTACGAAGCAGAAAGGAGATATTTGAAATGTTAGAATATTCATTATTATTAAAGATGCTCAACTTTTACATTTAAATTCTGTTAGCTGTCTGCTTGTGTTCAAAGTGTCCAAACTCATCCCACCTAAAAGCATTAAAATTGTTCTGCTGTGTCTATGCTTATGGTTTAAGCTACTTTTTAAACCCTATCTCTGACATGTGTATTAACCTTGCCCCTATCGTCTAAAATGAAGAAGGCATGTGAACAGCAGGCAGCTTTGGTGGGGGCAAGAAGGTATTTCAGAGTATGAAGTTTGTGTTCAGTTTTCATCTGTAATTTTTTAATAGTTACTTGTAATTCAACTCGAGCCAAGAAAAAAAGAGAGTATAAATATTTAATAAGTAAATAAATGGGGGGGGGAATAAGACAGAAGTCTAGAAATAGGGTTCAAACGTTTGTTCATTTCTTTTGTGGTGAATTAGCTTTCCTAGATTTGTGTACGATCATGTGGTTCTCATTGAGCTCTTTTATAACAAACACCAAAGAAAGGAACTTCTATTACTTTTTCAGACTGTGCTAAATATGTAGGCACTAGATGTATAAGATATTCAGCCTTTCATGAACTCTGTGGTACAGCTAAATCTCACATCATCTGAAACCATGAACTGGTAGCAGGTTATAGACACCGACTTCCAGTGTTCCCTTTCATAAGCATTTCAGGAATACAGATCATCTCACATAACTGCCCAAAAGATACCAGTTGCAAATGTCAGCCCTTCACATTCTCCTTTCTTCTGAACTACTGTGATTCAGTGGCATTCCTTTTTCCCTTGAACTCGGACACTCTTCTGTGCAATTCCTCCAACTTACTGATGGGTGATCAAGAAGCTTCAGCATCTTGTTTCCAGCTCGACCCCCAAGAATGTTAAGACGTGTGAAGGGTCCTCCATCTTTTCATGTGCCAGAGGTACACCAGCTGCTCAGCCAGCTCCAGAAAGACATCTAATAAATGCTCACACTGCCCTGAGCCAAGGGTGCCCACGAACAAAAATTAATCCAAATAATGAACTACGCTGGTTAGCCCAGTGTGGTGGTGAAGGGCCCACTCCAGGAATGAATTAAAACATTCAAAGGCAGCACAGGACACAGAGCGGCCCACAGACAATGCATGATCCATGTAAAAATGGCCCTCAAAGGAAAAACCTAACAACTCAAAGTCATCTGGGTGCACTGAGAGAAGGCAAAAGACTGACTTGATGTTGCATTTTGCCATCTGAGCACCCAGGCCATAGCAGCATACAATGCTAACAGCCTGGTTAAAGGACGTATACCTGACTGAATACAAGGAGTCAGGCATGACATTAACAGACCCAACTCTGGGGTAAGACAAGTGGTGAATGAGGTGATATTCCCCAGAGGCTTTTTTGAGAACAATCCCAATGGGGAAACCCACAGATTAAGGACAAAGGGATCAGGAAATGGACCCAAAATTCTACCCTCCACCTTTTCCTTCTCAATTTTGGACCTAACAATATGCTCCTTGCCTCTAATTGTTGCTAAATTGCTTGCCATGAAGGGGGTCCTTGTGCCCTCATAGGGGATATGAAAACCAAATTTGAAACCATTCAACAAGTATCTGCCATCTGCCTGCTTGGGATATGCCCTCAGCAGGGCTTTAATCACTTTCAGCTTTATGGAACCCTCCTCCTTCTGGCCTCTTGCAACCCCTCTGGGGCTTACTCCGGAAGCATGCTGAGAAGGGGTGAAGCCCACTACATAAGGGGCATTCATGCCGGTACTGGCAGGCTTTTCTATTACACATCCCTTGGCCCCAAATTCCCAACAGATCTGGCAGGGTTGAACCACCTGCCCCACATGAACCAGCCACAGGAAGATGTTGAACCAGGTGGAAATGGTGTGAGTGATCACCAAATTTGGGCAAGATGGCAACATAATCTCAAGCCAAAGATGCGGGTGCATCCTGCTTTGTAAAGAAGGGTTCATGTCTGCCCTCATCCTGAACTCTTTATCATATTGCAACCAGGCAGGGCTGGTAAATCCAGTGTAACCCTGATATATGCTATCAAAATACTGAAACAAGGATGCAGCCCTCCAGGGTTGGGCCTTGGAAATAACACAGCGTTCATAAGGAACCCAGCCACCCAGTTAGCCCAGGTTCTATCAAAGTTCATCTTTTTAAACTTTTCATTGTCCTTGTGATCCATATCCTCCTTGTCCTTTTTCTCCAATTCCTGGTAGAGCAAAGTAAAAACATCCACACATTCACCCTTACAGATCTTTTCCCTCGTGGCTGGTAGCAAGTGATCCCATAAAGGTAGTGCCAGGTCACCAAAAGGGATAGCTGATGCATGGACCGATTCGTAGGAGGTGCCCCGATATGGGGGGTAGCCCAACCAGGTGCAGGCACGGCAGGTGGCTGTACCCATGGTCCACCCTGAGCTCCCTGTGAAGCACACTGCATAGGTGGGGGCCCCAATACTGCTCATAAACTTGACCCCCATAGCATTGGTAGGACTGGCCACTGCAGGACCAGGGGCAGCCTGGCTACCCCACGGCCAGCTGACCCCAGCCTGAGGTGCAGCATCAGACTTACCTTCAGCCATGGCCAGGCCCACATGGGATGGCCCGAGCTCAGTAGGACCTTGACGTTGTCTTGAAGCCCCTGATGTGCTCCCTGTGCTTGACTCTTTTATCACAGACCCTTTTCCTCCAATTCTTGAAGCAGAAGAAGACCTACTCTCAAGCAAAAATAAATGTGTCAATACTTCTGCTTGGAAGTGTTTATTTGACAAAGAGTGGGTCTCCTTCCACCCAGATGTCCCCTTCCCAGCTGGTGGGTGGGGAGTGCAGACTCCTGAAGCTTGCTCCAGGGCATTGAGCCTGTTCAGAATTGCTTGCTGGGCCTCATCCCCTTCTTCATCCTCAGAAGAGGATAATGTGGGGGCTGGCCTCTTGGGTGGGACCTTGGGAGCAGGCTGATTCCCTTTAGCCTGGCCTCCACCTTTCTTGGGTGCTGTGTAGTCTGGAGACAATGAAAATAACTTCTGAAACAAAAACAAAATGGCTGCTGGAAGGGACAAGATGGCCGCCTGCCAATTAACAGCCTGCAGCCATTCCTAGGACAAGGGGGGATGCCAGAATGTGGAAGGAGGACCTCAAAGGGAGGCCAGAGGTGAACCCCCAATTGGACTGGCTAGCTCTTACTGCCTCCCTAACTAGAAAAAAAGGGGGTGGGCGCAATCTGCCATGGCTCCCCAATGACCCCACCCAGGCAGAGATAAGGCACCCATGCCATGACCCCAATGAGCATGATTGCTGCCTGCTAGAGGGCCTCTGCTGCCCTTGCTCTACCACCTCTGCTGATCGCCGCCAAGTCCCTGTCGCTGGTCAAACCACTGTCTGCTGCCACAGCAGCTCCAGCCACTGTCTGCCACAGCAGGTCCAGCTGCTGTCCTCTGCCACCACTGCAGGTCCTGCTGCCAACTGCTGCAGGTCTGATCACCACCCCTCAGCCGCCATCACCCAACCAATGACCCCTCCAGCCTCGATGGCCTTGCTTGCTCCTGGCCTAGACTCCAAGACCCGAAGCCTAAAGTGCCATGAGAAAGCTCCCACCTGGACACGAAGAAGGGCGAAGACTGAATTGGAGGGGTGGGGACCAGCCTAAAAGACCTCCAGCACCCGCCCCTTCCAAGTACCTGGCTGCAGCTTCTTGTCACGGGGACTGCCTCCCCTGCTTGCAGGGAGGCAAAGGCAGCATACTGGCAGCACAGCCACAAGGATCAGTGGCCGGTTGAATCAGATTTTATAGAGAACTTTGGAAGTTGTGTTATTTTAGGTTTGTATTTTTGTTCCTGGAAAAATCTGTTGAGAAAGCCAAATACCAGTAAAAATCTTTACAGTGCCCTGAATACCATTTGGTGCTCTCTAAACCATTGATTTGTTGTTTTATATTTTTACTGGGAAGTGTATTAATGGGAAATGTGAGTACAGTAGAAGATACATGAAGGGTACATTTTAGGATGTTCAGTGGGTATTAGCATAAGACATTAGCTTTGTATTGTTCTGTGACAGAGAAGGAGGATTGTGCAAAAAAAAATAAGGCACTTCTGTAAAAAAAAAATTCACTGTGGTCAAAAAGTTGGTGGTCAATCCTACAACAAAAATTACTTGTCCAAATCATGCTTATTCCCTGTCTCGATCTGTTCTTGGATTCAGTGTGAATGATGCTGAATTTCATCACCCAGTTGCAGTAGAACGTTCTGGAAAAGCCTCACAAACATGTTTTCATCAGCACTTCTGCTACCAGTTATGCTGCTAGGAATTGTAAAGATTGTCAAAGTGATTATCTTCCTTATAATTACCAAAATGACCACAATTAATTTACCTCACCAAGACTGAATGGCTGTCCAGGAGGCAAGAAGAAAAATGTCAAGGTCCTCAGAAAAAAGTTATAATAATCCCTCAATGCAATTCACAGCTAAGATTAGGAAATAGAGAAAGGGGGGTCTCTATCAGTTAGAACCATTCACCTGTATGTTGGGTACAACCAGATGTCAAATTGATGTATCCTCTTTGGTACTGAAAGTGTGCTTTGAAGTACAACAATACTACAGATATAGCTCATTTTTAGAGTGCCTGGGTCAGATACTACCTAAAAGACTGGGTTAAAAATAGGGGGAAAGGGAGTTGTTGTGCTGTAGATTGATTCAGGAGAGACCTCTTTGAGAAGAAAGATTGGCCCTTGGGTTGCTGAGATGTTGTTATGCTTGTTGCTGCTGCTGCTGCTGTTCTCCCACATGGTATGCAAATCACATACTATGATGCAGGTGGTGACTGAGAGCCTCTCAACTGCACATGAGTGGTACCAGCCAAGTGAAATCCTCATTGGTGGAATTGTGTCTTATATCGTTTTCTTATTCCCCATTCCTTCATTCCAGGAACCCCCTTCCAAGATACCAAGGAATAATATACTGTAAGCAATAATTTTATTCCTTCTCTACAGAGTGATCTGTGATTGTGTTTC